AGCGTCTCTCGTAGAGAGACGGATCCCCGTGAGCCTTGATCTTATGCTGCTTCAGCATCGACTTATACTTGTAGACCTTGTCACAGACGTCACATTTGTGCTCGGCTTCGTTTTCATTGGATTCCTCGAGTTTCTCGTCCGACATCACCGAGGGATCGTAGTGATACAGACGATTGTGCTCCTTCAAGCTATAGAGAATTTTTCTTTTTTTATAATCTGTACCGCAAGTTTTGCTCGATTATCTTTGTTATATGGCAAAATTAATTATGATTTTAAATATTTATGAGATTATTTTTTTATCAAAGAGGCTACTTGTGTGTGTGTGTTTTTGAAACAAATCAACATGTTGCGTATTTTTTGAAATGAAGACAAACTAAGAGAGATAGTGGGTATTTTGATCTGAACACTTAGAAAATCTACTTTTTGAACTAGAAAAAAAATCGAATTGCCATAAATAAATTAAGATATAATAGTACGCTATTTTAATTGTCATCAGAAAGTGACACACCTGTACACGTCATTGAAGATGCTACTGCACGCGCTGCATTGCTGATACTGCATAAAGTTGTGCATAGTCGTGTGAGTGATCAGAGCATCCTTGTCGACGAAATGCTCGCTGCAAATTTCGCACGTGAATTTCGAAGCTCGATGATGCCGCTTCCTGTGTCGCTCCACGTCGGTCGCGTTGACACCCATGAAATTGCACTCGTTGCACGGCACCGTCTTCAGCGTGTGCGATTTCTTCACGTGGGCGTTAAGCATGAATTGTTGGGGATAATTCTTGCCACAAGTGACGCACTTGAAAGGTCGATGTATGCCGTGGGCTATCCTTAGGTGAGCGACTAATCTCGTGACGAAGTGGAATTTTTCTCGACACAATTCGCAAACTTTTTCGCTACCTTCGAATCTGTAATCGTTCAGTAACAAATTCTCGTTTTTTTAATAGAGATTTAATCAAGTGCATTATTTAATTTAAAATGCATTCCGAGAATTAGAATTGTTATGTTAAAAAAAACTATTATACATACAATTCTTATGTTTTATATGATAAAGGCTATATAGAAAAATTGAATTTAATAATTGAAATAAGTTACATTTAACTTTCTGTAATAATTGTAATCGCTTTTAATTCTTTATATTGTAAATATGTGAGAGAAAAGTGTAAGCAAAAAAAAATATAATAACATATGCAACTCACTTCTGTCCAAGATCAGGTAGGTCCCCGTTCTTCATTTTCAAATCGTGATTATTCGTCCATGCGCTGCAATAAAATCGAGATAGATACACATTTACATAAAGCATCATATAGAGATGTAACTGCAATTCTACTAACACTCTTTTACTCATTTACTTAGGATAAAGTCGATGCTTTAGTAAATGCGTTTTCGCAGTAAAAAAAATCCATAAATAATTAATTGCGAGATCGAACTTAGCGGCTTGGACTTAATTAAAATCATTTCTCGTTCATATCGTTTTATTACAACAAAGTATTACAATCACAATCGATAAGTTAATCTAAAACCAAATAAAGATCAGAATTCGTTGAATGCTTCATCGTATCTTCGGTTGCAAGGTCTTCTCGTGCACCTTGCGATGCCTCTTGAGCAAAGCGTTGGATACGAAACTCTTGCCGCAATCTGGACATTGATAAGGCCTCTCACCCGAGTGGTACCGTAAATGTATGACCAACAAAGTCCTCTGGGTGAAACTTCGACCGCACTGCGGACACACGTGCGGTTTGTCGCCCGTGTGGGTCCGTTTATGAATGCTCAGGTTCTCCTTGCTAGCGAATTTCTTGTCGCATGTGTCGCACTCAAAGACCTTCTCGCCCACGTGATTGCGTTTGTGCACCGTTAATCGTCTCATCGAGGACAATTCCGCGCCGCACAGGTCGCACAAGTGTTTCGTCGGCGCCTGTTCCTGGAATCCGTGCTGATTCTTTAGGTGTCTCTTCAGCAGTCTCTTGTAAACGAATCTCTCCGGGCAGAATTTGCACGCGTGCCTCGTCTTCGGGCTCTTCCCGGTCTGTTTGCTCGTGTGATGCGTCACCAGGTGCACCGACAGATTCTTCTTATACAAGTAACGCTTGCAGCAGTGCTCGCAGCGATACAGATTCTTATTCGTATGCGAGTTCTGGTGATCCAGGTACTCGGTCTTGTGGAAGAAACCTTTGTCGCACATCTCGCACTTGAAACTATAATCCTTGGCGTGTCGGCGACGATGGTGGTCCAGATTGGACTTCTGATTGGTGCTATACTCGCAGAGGTCGCAGACGAACATCTTCAGCCCGGTGTGGATCAGTTTATGACGAGCTATGTTCATCGGGCTGCGAAACGTCTTGTTGCACTCGTCGCAGCTGAAGGCCCGATCGATATTGTGCAGATTCTTCAAGTGCTCCACGAGTTTTCGTGTGTGTCGAAAGCAAGCTCCGCATTTCACGCATTGGTGCACGCCGCGCGATTTACCCCTTCGTTGCCTGAAATAATGAGGAGATAATGAGAGATATGCGTCTCGCGATAAAATTTGGCAGGAATTGGAATAAAAATTAAAGTAAAATAGATTTTTCTGCCGAAAAAATGCTATACATTTTTAAAATATAGAAATGTTCAATAATTTACTTTTTCTTCTTCATTTCGAGTTATATATCTATCCTTTTTCAGTTGTCTTCATATAAATAGATATAGTATATAGGAAATATTAATAAATATTGGTGTAATGATTAAATGAGAATCATATCTTACACAAGTTACAAAGTAACTAATTTAAGTGTTTTATTCAAGCTCATATCAAATTCTTTTAATTTCTTTCAAAAATTTTGTAAAGAGAAAATTACTTCATTATGTTAGTTTGTGAATTAGAAAATTTATGTATCAATCCTATTAAACAAATTATGTATATATCACAACAACAACATATCATTATATCATAAACAGGGACAAAATTACATTTAAATTTTGTTAAAACATGAAAACATAATTTAAAAAAAAATTGTCTGATAAAATTATACTATTAAAAAAATAATGCATATGTTGTATATATAATAAATTATTATGAATTTTCCAATGGTATTCAAAAATTTAGATATTTTTAAAAAACTATAGTATTATATATTTATTAAATTTCAGGAGAATATTAAATAATTTCAAAACAATTGGACAATATCTCTTTTTTATTTAAACGCAATACGTAGTCATTTATATACACATGCATCATAACGTGAATAAAGGAAGAATATATTGTTATATAATTTTTAATGGAAATTTAATTATATTATATACATAAAATCTTTGTGTAAAAATTTTCCGAACTCTCTTCTACTTTTCTCGTTAAAAAATTATATACATGTTGCATTTATATATATCTTATTTTTTACCACAAACTACATCTCAGTTTAATAATATAATTTGATTATTATATTGAAAACAAATATATTAAAATTCACTGAACAACAAAAACGAACGTTACGTAAATCAGGTCAAATATGTGTGTAAACTTGAAATTAGAAATTAAATTATATAATATAACTTCTAAAATGTTCAGCATCGATTAATCCAGTTATTATTTTAGACGCAAATTTTATATTTCAAACTATAAAATTAATTGCAATAATCGATGTCACCTATTCACAGGATTGTATATTCCAAATTTAGTCTGAATGAATTTAATTAATCTCGCGCGGAAATGTCATCGATGCGATGGAACAATCTTCCGAATTGACATTTATAAGCTATTTAACGTTATTTTATCTTGTAAATGTATTTTCCTGCGTAACTCCCAGTTCTTGCGTAAAGTCCATAATAATTTTTTTAATCGGCACTACAGGCAACGGCGGCAGTGGTCCAGGATGACGCTTTCTGTGGCAAATGAGTCCCGGTTTTTGCGCGAAAGTTTGCCCGCAAATGTCGCAGATATACGGCCTCTTGCCGGTATGAATCAATATGTGCTGCTCTTGCGCGGTCTTTCTGGGAAAAGTCTTGCCGCAGACTGGACAGGAGAACGGCCGGATACCCTGATGGATCCTCAAGTGAAGATCCAAGTCCCTCTTCTGGCCAAAAGTCTTGCCACAAGTAGGACAGATGACCTTCTCCTTCCGTTCGTGCCAGATTAGATGCTGGTCCAGATTCTCTTGCGTGGTCAGACCGCGTTTGCATATCTTGCACTCGTAAGCCGGCTTGTAGTGCCGATACTTCATATGCGCCTTGATAGCAGGCAGGTTCTTACACGCGTGTCCGCAGATGTTACAAATGACGGGTGGTTCGCCACTGTGTACTTGATTCATATGTTGCTTCAGATCGTTCTTGATCTTGAACTGCTTCTTACAAACCGTGCAGGAATACTGGAAGAGGCTGGTGTGCTTTCGTATGAAGTGATCCTTTAGGGTGCATTTGTTGCTGCTCTTGTACTCGCAAATGCTGCAGGGATAGAGCAGAGGTCCGTGGACCTTCTCGATGTGGCGCTTCAGATCTCGCTTCAGGCTAAAACTCTGGCAACAGGTTTGGCACTGGTACTTGTGGTGGCTCATGTGTTTTATCATGGTGGGTTTGTCGCTGAAACGTTTGCCGCATGTGGCGCATTCCAGGAAGAGTTCGGGTTTCCTCTTCTCGACTTTGATCTGATTTGTATTTTGCTTTTTCGTATCTTTCTTCGTACAATAATTTTCTTGTTTTGACACTTTTCTCTTTCTGGTAATGTGTCGTTGAAGCCTATTTGGAAGCGAATCATACTCGGGTGTGCACTCTATGCTTTCCACGGGAGAGTATTCCGAATTATTGACGTCCACGACGTTCAGGGGGTCCATGCGTGAATCGCTAAAACATAAATTACAATCGAATTAAAGTTTATTACACACGACCCATAATTTATCGCTGGATATTAGGCTTACTTACTTGAAGTATTAAAAATGTGTCGAATCTTTTCCGTTTTTTTACTCGAAAATATTTTTAATCTACAAAGAGAATGTGAAAAATATAAAAATATATTTATATTGTTACATTGTGAATTTAATCATAAACATGTAGATCATAATTTACGTAATATAAGACATATTTAAATGCAATGTTTTGATATATTGATAAAAAATAACTAAATAATTATTTAAAATTTTCTATTAAATTATTTGAAATTTTAAATTAAGTCAATTAAAATTTCATATAGCATTGTTTAACAAAAATTAAATAAAATATTTAAAAAATCATTCATATTTATATAAAATATTATCATTAAAATATAGTAATACATATACTAAATAATGATACTGTTGATATTTTTTATTTTATGAATCATTACTTTATATTAAAACAAATTAACTTCGCATTTATATCAATATTCTGTTCTTACTATTTATATATTTTAAACTAATAGAATATTATGTTCTTCAATTTTTTTATGTATTAAATTCTTCTTATTATTATATTTAGGAAGCTACAATAAATATATATATATATATATTCAAAATTTATAAAAAGTGTAAATTTATTGCAAACTGAATACACACAATACAATAGAAAAATTATAAAGACATTTAAACTTGAAAACTTGACAACAAAGAGAAATTCTGCATACATATATATTATATAATACATTTCTCTGTTGAAAAAGTCCTTATATACGTCAAGACTAATGTGTAGAAGTATCGTTTATAAAAATATTTATAAGAACTTCAAAAATATTATATTTATATCTACAAAACATATCTCTTTTATATAGATAAAATATTTTTTGGAAAAGCAACTTTTTCTGAGACTTTTGATTCTTGCCATTGCTTGCAACTTCAATCTTGTCTTTTTTATGTCAACTCTTTAATTATTTATTCTCTCTCTTGTGCAATGGCAAAATATTCAAAATCCACAATTGATTTCGTCTCGTTATATATCCACTCGAAATACTAAAAACTTTATTCTATCTTTATGACTGCATTTTTTGTCGCATACTCTTTCGTAAATTCCGTGACAATTTTTTTAACGGAGACTACAGGTAGCGGAGGCAGGGGACCAGGATGTCTCTTCCTGTGGCAGATGAGACCAGGTTTTTGGGCAAACGCTTGGCCACAAATATCGCAAATATAGGGTCTCTTCCCGGTGTGGATCAACACATGTTGCTCCTGCGCTGTTTGTCGTCGAAACGTCTTCCCACAGACAGGACAAGGAAACGGCTTTACTCCGGTGTGCACCCTCATGTGCGAGTTAAGATCGCGTCTTCGGAATCTCTTGCCGCAGGTCGGACAGAGCACCTTCTCCCTGGTTTCGTGCCACATGAGATGCTGCTCCAGGTTCTCTTGCGTGGTCATACCTCGTCGACATATCCGGCAGACAAATTCCGGCTTGTAGTGTCTGTACTTCATATGGGCTCTAAGGGCGTGGAGGTTCTTGCTGAAGTGACCGCAGACGTCGCACACGATCGGCGGTGCTTCGCTGTGATTCTGCTTCACGTGGTGATTCAGGGCTTTCTTGATCTTGAATTGCTTGCCGCAAATGTCGCACGCGTAATCGTAGTCGCTCGTGTGCAATCGGATGTAGTGGTTCTTCAGAGTGCCCTTGTTATTGCTCTTGAATTTGCACACGCTGCACTCGTACATCTCCTGATGATGATGCCTCGCTATGTGAGAGACCAAGTAACGCCGAAGGCTGAAGCTCTTCGGACAATCGGCGCACTGGTGTCTGTGCTGCTTCAAGTGCTCGGCGAGATTGCTTTTCTTCAGGAATTTGCGGCAGCAGTGATCGCATTCTAGATGGTACGTCGGCTTCCTTCTGACCGATCGATTCCCTTCGGTTACAATTCGCGGACTAGGTTTTCTCGTCTCCAAGTCTACGTTCATCCCTTCTAGCGTTCGTTCTTCGTCTATTATTGAAGACTCTTCTCTTTTCGTTTGTTCGCATTCCAATAGTTTTTGGGTGATAATGGATTCAATGTTTAATGGATCAGCCATTCTAAAACATAAAAAGGGTAAAAGTTCGTATTATTATTAGCTATAAATCAAGGATTTGATTGCTTAAGTTTATTGATTAGAATTGTCGACACTTTCGCTAATAAAGAGGGAAGTGATTGGGAGCGCTTTAATGACATTGGATTTAATAAACAATTTAATAAACATTCGGATACTTTATTGACATCATCTTTCAAGTTACCTTCCTAATTGAGCGATTAGAAGTCTGCTGAGAATTACGAAAGACACTGTACCGATTTTAGATATCGATGAGAGTGTGGCTTATCGCAATGCAACGCAAAACTTTTTGGCCATCTAAAAAAAGAGCGAGGATTAGTCATCATCATTAATTATAAGAATGGAACAAATGATAACTTACCTGACGTACACAGCGTGAACTAATAAATTCTCTACAAATAAATATATATAATTATTGAGGAATAGATTAATCGAAAGATTTGAAAAACACAATCTGAATTAATCGTTAATATATTTTAAATAAATTTGCTATACATACATGAGATGAATTGTATCTCTTCGTTAAAAATAAAATGTACCATATCATTTCATAACATAAAATCGTTAACGGAAAATATAATCGTAATAGTCTAATCGTAATATAATCAAACTAAAGTATTATATAATCTGAGAAAAATAGAACAATAAATCTCTTATTTTATAACTGCGATTTACGACATCATAATTAAAAATGCTTATAGAAAAATTACTTGTTCTCCTTACTTTATAAAAATCCTATTTCTTAAACAAAGAGCAATTTCGGATAAAATAAATTATTCGTTAATACTTTTTTAGATTTGCTCCTTTAAACTTGCTATCAAATTCATGATTGAGGATTTGACAGACCCTTCGTACTGTTCAAGTAATCTCTAACAAACTTGCTCACAAGGCCTGTCACAGGTATAATCGGCAACGGCCCGAGCGGTCCAGGATGTATTTTCCTATGACATATTAGAATAGATCTTCGCGGGAATTTCGCTCCGCAAATGTCGCATGTATATAAGTTATGCATGTGCGTAAGAATATGTTGTATTTGATTTGAGCGTTTCTCGAAACTCTTCTTGCAAACCGGACATACGTAAGGATTAGCTTTGCCGTGATATTTGATCAAATGTTCCGACAAATGTAATTTCTTATCAAAACTCTGTCCGCACGACGTACAAACATGCTGGCTCGACACGCGTTGCTTATCTCTGTGCCGGCGTAAATGCGTCTCTAATTCGGTTACACTGAAGATATCCCGTCTCCCGCAGATCCCGCACTGGAAACCCGCTTTCAAGTGAACGTGCTTGTTGTGTATTCTCAACGCCGTAGAGTTATCGAATTCGCGTTTGCAAAGGCTGCAAATTACAGACACAGTGCTGTGTAAGCGATGCATGTGTCTTGTGATCGCATACATTGTCTGAAATTCCTGATTACAAATCTTGCAGATGTTACAGAAGGGATCCAAATGCTTTGTCATAAAGTGTTTCCTCAGGTCCGGCTTGCTCCAATAAGTGGTGTTACACAATTTACACACGTACTTGGCCTCGCCGTGCTTCAGGGCCATATGATTCTGTAGCTTTTTCGACGATTCAAACAGTCCGTTGCAGATGCTGCACGTGTGCTCGTGAAGCTGCATGTGTTTTATCAAGCTCCCTTTCGTTTGGCATGGGAAGGCGCAAATATTGCATGAATAATGATCATATGACGATGAACTTTCTACATCCTTATTTTCTTTACTGCTCCCTACGCTGTTTATCTGATTCGCAGCATTCATAGATGTCATAAACAACGCGTTCGCATCCCGAAGACTTCCTTCGATCTTGATTGCATCGATCTTGATTTCATCGAGTTCTAGTAAATCAGTAAACCTACGACAAAAAAAATTTTTTGTCATAAAATGATGAAACCCAAGAAATATGATGAAAATACCTTGTTTTGCCTTATTTTAATCATTTATTTGACTTGCGCCTTTAACGATATTTCAATCAGAACAGCACATAAAAATATCATCTTAACATTTTAGAAAATGTTTCCAAGAATATGTAATATTTTGTTTGCATATGGTTGTCAAATAATGTCATGTTATTATTTCAACTAATATTTCAGTATGCATTTCTTTATTCAAGATTGTGCTATAATACAAGATAGTTTTCAATCAATGGCATTCTTTTAATGAAGATATTAAAGACACGTGTAAAGATAATTGTTTAAGAAATATATATTATATAAAAAATGATAAAGAATAAAAACAAAATTCAAGTAATTAATCATTATTTTAACAATTTCAAGATTATTACTTGAAATATATGATATACTAATACAATATATATATAACAAAAACAAGGTAAATTTAGCATATATATATATTTTTTAGCGAAAATACAATTTATATCAATTAAGTCTTAGTCTTATAGTTTTTAGTCTCTAATTTAAAAACTTGGATATCTTCATTAAAAGAAAGAACAGTTAATTTGCAAGATATTACTTATATATTTTTTTACATATTTATATATCCTAAACAAATTTAAAATAACAGCTTGCAACATCCATATTGGGAACATTCACGGGTTAAGAATTTATTTCTTCAATCTATGTAAATATGTAAGAAAAAAATATGAGATTTCTTCACGCAAAAAGAAAACATAATTTATTACAATATAAAAAATTCTTTCTTACAAAAGTGGACGCTCGCTCTTCTTTCTTGTGAATTATGTCTTGTACCGTACAATTCTGCTTAAATCCAAAAATAAGTATAAGACACATTGGATTTTCGTCTCGATTTGAACAAACTCTGTCAAACTTTTTTCTGCTTTTTCATTTTCAACAAATCCTGGTTGACGTAATCCATCGACATGATGGGAAGCGGATGTAGCGGTTGAAGATGCTTCTTCCGATGCATGATGAGTCCCAACTTCTCCGTGAAACTCTGAAATTTCTCCGCAAACATCGCAGACGTAGGGTTTGACACCATCGTGGATCCTCATGTGCTTCTTCAAGGTATACCTACAACTGAAGGTCTTGCCACATAACTGGCATATGATGCTCTCCCAATTCTGCAATTTGCAATGTCGCTCCAGCGATTCCTTAGTCGCCAGCTTCCTTCCACACACCTGGTAAGGAAATCTATCATTGTGGCGATGACTCAGGTGCTTCTTAAGCGTTCCGATAAGTCCTGCCACAGACATTGCAGCCCATCTCGCGATCATCGTTGTAAATACTTTGTACGTGCATGTACAAGTCGCTCTTCATCTTGAAGGATTTGTCACATGTATTGCACACGTAATTTTGACTCTTCGTGTACTTCTTCAGATAGTGTTCTCGCAACGACTGTCTGCACTGGTAGACGACGTCGCACTCATCGCAGGAATACGAAGCTTTGGAAGCATGCACCTTGCTCATGTGTTACTGAAGTTCGTCTTTCAGCTTGAAAATCGTCTTGCAGCATCCAAAATAAAAGTGGCTTTTCATGATTTTTCATTTGCGAGATCCTAACAAAGGTCCAAATGTTCTTGCTCAATCTTTCTTTCATCCGAATAGATTTTTTAGATATCTTCTTCAACGTATATTTGCGCTTTGCAGCAGACAGAGGCGATGACTTTCTCGATTTATTTCTCGTACGTCAACTTATTTTACTTATACTTCTCTGTATGATATCCTTTCTTGTATTTTAAGGAACCAGTAATTTTTCTTCGTGGACTTGTAAAAGATCCATATCTGTTATATTCCTGCAAGTTTGAGAAAAAAATGATAATTTCTAAAGTTTCAACAAAACTGATTAATATAAAGTATACTTATCTCTCACAGTATGTTGTGTAATTTTACGAAATGTTTCGTAAAATGTAAATTATCTTCAAAGATGATATTTAAAAAACACGTCAAATCGTCGATTGTTACAAGAGAGCATATAATAATGATATGTATTTAATTAAAAGTAGATGTTACTTAGCTTACAGGGTTTGTCCGGAAAGTAATGCGTCGCATTTTTTTAAAAAAGAATTTATTGATCGCATAGGTAAAACAACTTAAAATTGTTCGAAGTATGACCCTTCTGCGTCAATACATTTTTACCAACGCGATTTCCATGCGTCATAAGATTTCTGGAACTCATTGACTGGGATGCTGTTCAGGGAGGCCGTCGAAGTAGCTTGTACGTTGTCAACCGACTCGAGCTGTTGTCCTTTGAGCTCCCTTTTCAGCCGAGGAAATAAAAAAAAGAAATTGGGATTATCTGCACAGAGTTGCTTGAGTTCTTCACAAACTTCCACTCGGTGTTGCTTTTGCGCATCGGTCAACACTCTGGGCACAAGTTTTGCGCAAATCTTCCGCATGGCCAAGTCTTCCGATACAATCTCGTGAACAATCGTTTTCGGCAAGTTCAATAATTCCGACATTAAGCGAACATTCATTCGACGGTCTGAATTCAATAATTGGCGCACACGAGTCACATTGTCGTCCGTTCGCGATGTTGACGGGCGTCCTGCGCGGGCCTCGTCGGCGACCTCCTTCCGACCTTCTCTAAACATCTTGTGCCATCTGTTTGACTGCGATTTGGAAAGGCAATCGTCCCCGAAAACTTTCTTGAGCATTTCAAAAGTTTCCAGCGGCGTCTTGTCCAGCTTCACGCAAAACTTTATCGCATAGCGTTGCTCTATCGTTCTCTCCATCACAAGTTCGACGCGACCACTAAGCAGAGGTTCACAGAATAAGCCGTCCTAACCCTCCAAGCGCATGGAAACAATTGAGCGACCTACCGTTGGAAAGCTAAGGGTACCCCCCTTCCTCCCCAACCGGTCCCATCGCTCTGCGATGTATAGTCGCGTCACAAAAAAATGCGACGCATTACTTTCCGGACAAATGTAAGATAATTATAAAAACCTGTAAGATAATTATAAAAATTCGTGTCATTAAAAATATTTATTTGAGACAAAAGTTTATACGTTGTATGTGCACAGATCTTGTTTATTTTAATTTTTATTAAAGACAGTTATCTTAGCAAAAATAGTTTTGCATCGTATTTCTATTATGTAAAGCTATTTAATAATATGCTATTATTTATAAATTGATATTAATATATATATATATATATATATATATATATATATATATATATATTCCAGAAAGTACATACGTTATTATGTATAGAGAAACATAAAGTAGAAATTGCTTGAGCTATATTACTTATAGTGATATTTTATTACAATATAAATTAATATTTGAAAAGATGTAAAGATTTTGTGAGAGTAAAAATTTTTACGTTTAAAAAAACTAGTTTTATTCTTATATAAATTAAGAGCGTTGTTATATATTTCTCCATACAAAATAATAGTAGAGTTCCGAATAATAGAACTGTGTTTACTGTACAATAAATACAGAAAGTGAAAATATGGAACAATTACATGTGTGTTTGTTTGTCTTCAGATATCATTAAATATTATATTGTATTTAATTATGACGTATATCTTACTTAAAAAATTATTATTTTGTATTTCTCAAGATATGTTGATCCTAAAGTAGAAAATAAAAAAAACTATAGAATATTACTAATACATGTTCAAAAATTCTTATCAAAGGTTTTATTCAATGGTAGAATAAAAGGTATTTATTATTTGTTCCTTTCGTTTTTAAGATCATATTTTTATAAAAATAATTTTTAATTTTTTTCCCACCTTCGAATTATTTCAATTTTTAAAATTATTGTTTAATAACGAAAAAAAAATATTTATATAAGTGTTTAAATTATATTTATCTTACTCTCTGTAAACAATAGCAAAATTCTAAAATTATTATATAGAGCTATTTACTTTGTAAATTAGAAAGTGTCAAGTATAAATAAAATTAGACATACAATAAAAGATAATAAAAAAAAGAAAAAAAAATAAATTAATATGTATATATACATTAATGAATATAAACATTAAATTAATTTTTTATAAAATAATTCTACACATTGATTGGAAAAAATATGTATTATTATATATGTATATAACTTTTCAATTATGTTCATTATCATTGTCTAACATATGTTAGGATTCTTTTTCTACCATAGGAGATCAGCATTCAAAAAAATTTAGTACCGAGTAATAATTTTATCGTAATCATTTTTCTATTACCAATAAAATAGCTTACTTATTTATCAATAAACTGATAAATTTATTGATAAATAAAACATAACTGCAAAATTCGTAAAAAGAATTATGCTATCAATGCTATTTGTGATGTATTTTATTGGCTCAAGAAATGTACAGAGTTTTAATTTTACTATAATGATAAACATCAAATGATCTTAAATAGCTGAAAGGCGAAACACAAATTGAAAGATAACTTTTCTTAATTTTTGTTACATGCAATTTACAATTACTAATTATATAATCTATACAGCTTATATATATATATTCGTTCATATCTTTACCTATTCTTCAAATTTTATTTAAACTTTGGATACAAACAAGTGTCATCGTAAGTTTCTAGTCTCTAAAAGTGATCACGTTTTTTATAGCCAATAAAATGTTTTCATTTAAATACATTTTATTTTATTTAAATGTCTTCAACGCAATAAATTTGTATTTTCTTATTGCTTCTTTCATTACAAAAATTTATTTTATTTTAAAATTGAATTCTAATATGAAAAGACAGAGTAAAGATAATAGATAGACGATCATAAAAAAGTTAGTTTTCGCAAAAATAAAAAAGAAAGAAAAAAAAAGATTAATATTTTTGTCAAAATTTATTTATAAATATTTGAATAACATCACAAAAACTAAGTTTTCATAATCACTTTACGATAAAAAATAAAAATTATGTAATCTTACGTGTAATCATGAACAATATTTGTGAATGGAAATTTTGTTGAAAAAATTTAGAATTACTGTTATTCTTCTATCTCGTAAAAATTTTTTCAATTACTTTAGCGTTCTTGTTATGTAACGATCGCACGCATTTTTGCTACTTTAAAGAGAGAAAAATGTTGATAAAAAAATTATATATCCACATATTAAATCGAGTGTTTACACTTCTTCGTCAATTCTCTCCTCAATTTCTTGCACGAATTCTTTTGTGAATTCGTTTTCCTGCACGTATTCTTTTGTAAATTCATTAACGAGGTCCGCGATCGGCATAACCGGCAATGGTGGATGAGGACCAGGATGAGTCTTTCTATGACAGATCAAGCCTGGCTTTTGCGTGAACGCTTTTCCACAAATGTCGCACACAAATGGTCGCTTGCCAGTGTGAATTAGCAAATGCTGGCGCAGCTGCGATCTTCTGGCGAAGGGTTTCTTACAGATCATACAGGAATGCGGTTTACATCCCGTATGAACTACCATATGCCTCTTGAAAGAGTCCTTCTTCGTGAACGTCTTGCCACACTCGGCGCAGACTATCTTATCACGTTTTTCGTGCTGCGTCAGTAAGTGTTGATCCAGATTTTCCTGCGTAACCATGCGTCTTTTGCAGATGTGACATTCGTATTTCGGTTTGAAATGCGCCCATTTTTGATGCACGTACAACGAGCCGGTGTTCAAGCACAGCTTGTCACATATATCGCACTTGATCGGCTTCTCCTTGTGATGGAACCGTATGTGATTCGTTAGGTCTCCCTTGACCTTGAATTTCTTGGGACAAGAATTGCACTGGTGCTCGAACTTGTCCGTATGCTTCCTTATGAAGTGGGATTGCAGGGAATGCTTCGATCTACAAACGAATCCGCAGGCGTGGCAAGGGAATACCGTGTTACTGGATCGCTTCCTGGACCAGGTCTCATGCTTCCTCTCCAGATGCGCGGCAAACAAGCTTTTCTTCAAGGTCCTGTAGTCGCACACGGCGCATATATACGCACCGTCCTCTTTTATACACACCTTCTTTTTATGAGTCCACGCCACGTGTTTCCGGAAGGATATCGCCGAGTCAAACATTTCCGAACATACTTTGCACTTGAGAGCCCCGCCAGGACTCTTCAAAGATGTTTTCGTAGGCAAGGATGGATTATTAGCGCTTAAAGGAGAATCAAGAATTTCTTCCTCCAGATATTCTATCTCTCCCTCATCGTTATTATATGCTTCCTCCGCTTCCTGATACTCTGCTTTTGCCTCCATCTCTGCTGATGTCAGTTTCTCGATGATGACTGTACTTCCCTGTACTTTGACTTGGTATAAATCTCCACCAGATTTGTCGTCCACAGCGTCGCCGTTCAACGTGATCGGTTTTGCATCTGCTTCTGCCGTTTCCTCGACGTCCCCGTTAAGAATGCTGTCGTCGTTATATAATTTTTCATCCATAGAATCAAAGCCCTTTTCCTCGAAATAAAACTCCTGTTTCATATCATCCGCACTGTTTTGTTCTTCATCCTCCATTTGCTCGTCTTCTTCCTCTATTTGCTCGTCTTCTTCCTCTATTTGCTCGACTTCTTCTTCTTCTTCTATTTCTTCGGTTTCTACATCTTCGTATTCCGGTATATCTTCATCCGGCAGAGGCGCATCGTCTTCAGGTATAAACGCGTAATATGGCTTGCCATCGAACTCCAAAATTTGCCATTTCTTCATCACCAACGATTCATTGTCAAATACAAAAATACCGCGAGAATCGCAAGCGCCTGCTTCGTACCTGAAACACCACAAAATGGAATAATTATTACAAGGAATGTATGATTCACTTATGTGTATATCGAAGTAAATTATATGCTAAAAGATATTTATTTCGCGTGCTACGTATAGATGTAATTATAAAGATCAGATCAACGAAGGTACTCACAAACAAGAAGCTAAAACTACTACCCTTCTTGTTGATCAGCATTGCAGTCCGTTGCGACCGACATACAACCGTCATAAAACCGTCAAAAACAAGACATTATACTATAAACATTTAGAATAGTCAATAATATTTATTTTAACAATTTTAGAAATATGTATCCGTTGTATCGAGCCTATTTTTTCTAAATAAGTTATATATAAATTTTATTAGATAAAGAAAAAATAACTACAAAAAGAAAAATGTTTAGTAATATTTTTTTAGAACATAAGTAAAACAATAAAATATATGTAGACAAAATCTGAATATTATATATATATATATATATATATATATATATATATATATATATTCATATAGAATTAATGCTATTTATATTAAAACATATATATATATAATTGAATTATAATTCACAAAATTATAATAAAATTAACCCTTAAATATTAATTAAGCAATTAAAAGTTGAATAAATTTCACAATATGAATTTTATGAAGATAGATTATTCTCAGAATGTGCTTTGCATGTTTTTAAATAAAATAATCAAATTTTTTTGTTAATGTTTCTTTATATTTGTGTATTTACAATTGTCAAAAAAATAAAAATTTTAATTATAAGTAAAATTTTTTTAAATTTCGATATTTTGAAATGTATAAGTAATGTTTCTTATCTTCTTGTTATTTAAGAATTATTTGAAGTAATACATACAATCAAATATGCTGCATAAAGTGTTGAATATGTGAAACTGGACACTGATCAAAGGAAATAAAATATTAATAAAACAAAAGAGAAAATGCTTATCTGGTAGATTAAATGTTAGAGAAAAAAAATTACATAACATAATTAAATATAATTAAAATTAAATGTTAAATATAATAATATATATTATTCGTAACGTTTTGCATCTTATTATTATCCTTATTGTATACTTTCTGATTCCTGCATGCTACATTATTTTGGACATATTCTTAAAAATCACAATTATGTGCACAAAAATGTGCTTATTACATTCGTTTGATTTTCTCATATTTGTACACTGTCAATTATTACAAGCAAATCCTATATATTTCATGTATAGCCGACTTTCTTTCTAACGAACAATTTTACATTTTCTGTACCATACTTATTGCACGTTATCGCAGACCTCACGAGAAGCATTGTAGATTACCTATCTATTTAATTAAACGAAAGAAAAAAACAGAAGACAATAAACATTTTTAAAGGGTAAGGCACGACATTCTTATATATTCGCAGTTTCATTTCTTAATAAATTCCTTCAATATGTGATCAATATGAATCACTGGCAGAGGCGGCAGCGTTCCCGAGTGGATTTTCCTGTGACAGATGAGACCGGCCTTCTGAGCAAACGATTTGCCGCAGACGTCGCACACGTAGATACGTTCCCCGGTATGCAGAAGAAGATGCTGACTAAGGCTGCTGTGCCTGGCGAAGGCTCTGTTACAGACCTTACAGCTGTACGGCTTGTCGCCCGTATGAATCCTCATATGTTTCCTCAGATCGTAATTCTCAAAGAAGGTCTTGCCGCACTCCTCGCACACCGACTTCTCCTTCCTCTCGTGCTGCGTCAGCATATGCTGATCCAGATTTGCCTGGGTGACTAGTCGACGATGGCACAACGGACATTCGTACTTGGCCTTATAATGAGCGTGCTTCTGATGAGTGTACAGACTGTGGCTGTTGCGACAGGTCTTGCCGCAGACGTCGCAGATCACCGGCGACTCACGGTGATTCAGTCTAGTATGAGTGGTGAGGTCGCCCTTGATCTTGAACTCCTTGCCACAGTGCTCGCATGAGAAGTCGTAGTGTTGCGTATGCTTGCGAACGAAATGAGACCTCAAGGTCTCCTTGCGGGCGCAGACCAAGCCGCAGACGATGCAGGTGAACTCGCGTTTATCGTTCGTGATCTCTTCGTGCTTGTCGGCCAGATGTGCGATCATCGTGGATCTCTTGCTGCATCGGAAGTCGCACATCACACACGAGAGAGCTTCCTGGTTTCGCGGCACCGTGTCAGTGAACGCGGAGTTTCCCTTCACGTTTGGTTCGCACTGACTTGATTTTTTTATTTCCGTCGTATGCGTGAGCTTGTGTCGTTTTAATAAGTACTTGCTCTTGAAGCGTTTAGGACAAATGTCGCACATGAGAGAATCATTTTTTCGAGTGTCCTCTTCAGATTTCTTCTCGTCTTCGGGTTCAAAGACGGACGGTTTCTCTCGAGTTTTCGTTTTCGTTGCTACTTTCTTGACGATCTCCACGGTTGGTTTCCTACAACATTACGAGAGAGTATCTTTATTACGGTTCTACAGTTAGAAGATATACAGATCTTTGACTACTTACATTCGAATCTAAAATTTGTGACGACATTGAGCTTACGAACAGAATTAGGATTATTTCCAGCCCCCTCTGCTCGGGGTTGGAAAAAGAAATTGTTGTACAGGATGTTTAGGATAACAGAATAATTTACAATATATTTATTTTTTATATAAAATTATTAAATATAACAATATACGATATATGCAAAATTGAAAGCATAACTCTTCCATAATAGATTGTTAAATACAAGCGTACAATAACATAGTATCAGTACATATTATTTATGTAATATTCGTAAATAAAATTGTTTAGCGATTCGTGAAATTTTTACCTGTCATTTAAATTTTTTTTAAAAGCTATTACTGTACACTTTCACATATTTACAAATTATTATATAATTACTATAATAATAATATAAATTAGTTAGGTAAAAAGGTACACTGTTATTTATCTGCTAAATTAATCAACACATCCATAAAAAATGCATTATTTATTTTAATAATAAGATCTCGCAATCATGAACGTGTCGTTTGTTGAAAACAAAAAAGTAAAAATTATTCCAAAGACATGCATCCAAAAATTGGCACCTTTTCTTCTAAAATAAAAATAAAACATTAACAAAGTTTGATTCCATAAAAGCAGATCGAATCAATCCTGATGATACGTATGCCCAATCTGAAAGTACTATCAAAACAATTAAAAAAAAAAACATTTTTTACTAATATTTATACTTTGTACAAACAAAAGACAAAAGTGTCTGTTTCCGATTTCTGCGAACACCTGAAATTTTTTCAATATTATATATAAAAAAGTTTTTACAAAAATGTAAATAATATAATCATATATAATTCATTATACTTACACAATAATTGCTGAATAAATTATTTATTTACTATTTAATATAATTAAACGAATTCCTAAAAACATTTTGAATTGCTCTCATATCAATTTGACGACTAATCCGATTTTACAAATAAAATACCGAGTGTTGCAAATAAATTGTCTTCATATTTCAAGAGATATTTTTTATTAAAACATGTTCTGATATTTATCACATTGTCATAACTTATATATATATATTAAACATTACCTATATATTGTTTTATGAATCGATTAATTCATAACCATAAAAACAGATATACTTTGCACCATTAAAATTGTATGCATATACGTTTATGTATAAAATTGTATTATATGTACCATTTTTTGTAATAATTTGCTATTGCATGAAATATATCCACATCGTCAACAATCATTGTGAAAATATCATACAATATATTTTTTTTGACATTTATTTCTTTGTAATATCTATTTAATTTTGCCTCTTTTTCATAGATTATTAAAAAATTTACTAAGAATAATACTTTTCGTTAACAAAAATAAACATAAAAATAGATTAAAACAAGAATACAAAAAATAATAATAATAATATTAGCAAAAACAAAATCTATCTTCATTTTTGTTGATGAAAAAGAAAAGAAAATCAAAAATTTAAACTTTTACGTTTTCGATACAAAATTTTTTAGACTCAAAATTTTCCTACACTATCATTTCTTCTTCATGAAATCATTGATAATGTGATCTATGTGCACGACCGGTAGAGGTGGATGTACGCCGGGATGCGATTTCCGATGACAAATTAATCCCGGTTTCTGGGTGAAAGCTTTCCCGCATATATCACAAATGTACGGCCGTTTTCCGGTATGGATCAGCAGATGTTGTCTAAACGCGGTCCTGCGCGCGAAAGCCCTACCGCAGATGTGACAGTCGTGCGGCCGGTAGCCAGTGTGGGTCATCATGTGCTGCTTAAGCCGATGATTCTCCGAGAAGGACTTGCCGCACTCCTCGCACACAAAGCTCTCCCTGCGCTCGTGCTGCAGCAGGATGTGCTGATCAAGATTCTCCTGCGAGACCATGCGCCTCTTGCAGATCTCGCACTCGTACTTGGGCTTGAAATGCGCCCACTTCTGGTGCACGTAGAGGGAATTGCTGTTGGTGCAAGTCTTGCCACAGACGTCGCAAATCACCGGACTCTCCTTGTGCCTGAAACGCACGTGCAGCCTCATGTCGCTTTTCACCTTGAACTTCCTGCCGCAATACTCGCACTCGAACTTGTACTCGGTGCCATGTTTGCGGTCCAGGTGTTCCTTCAATCGACGTCGGCTCTGACACTTGAATCCGCACGTGTCGCATGAGTATTCGATGATAGAACTTCTACGCCTGTTCCTTTTCTTGATCGCGCTCCGCTTCGCGGAATGTTTCCTGTTGAGATGCGACTGAAAGGTCGTTTTCTTGGTGCTCTTGTAGTTGCAGAAGTTACAACTATAAGTCATCGTAGTATCCTCTACATTCTCCTGCTGCGGATGCATCGCATCCCGATGATGCTTCAGCATTTCCTTCATCGGAAAGCAAGTGTTGCACTCGTCGCAAGGGTAGACCTTGTCGTCCTCGTTACAGGACTGATTCTCGTCTGTCCCCGGGATTTCATCTACTGACAGTGCAACGTTCTCGTTTTCTATTTTTACAACGTAAAAATTGTTCAACGGGTCTACATTGTTATCGTTTACAATTGCGAATGAATCCTCCGTCTTATCGGTCTCGTTATTAACTTTGTCCTGTTTCACATCGTGTTGATTCACTTCCACCTTTCGTGCTTGTTTCACTGGAAGGAAGGCATAATAGAGACATCCTTCCAAATCGACTATTTGCCATGGTTGCATCGGAATAGATTCTTTGCCGTATTGAAAATGTCCGCATCCATTTACGACCCTGAAAATTATACAGTACATTAGTTAGGAATTCTACCATCGATAAGGTAATTTTAAAACACATCTATCTTTTATTCAGTAATTTATATATATATATATAGACGTTTGACACTCGACGCTGAGAATAAGGGATTTTTTTAAATATAAATGGATAAGGCATATGTTCCAGATAAATGAAAAGTTTTTAAGAGAATTTTGATAATTATTTATATATAATTTTTTTCAGTGATCTCTTTCAATTTCTTGAGAAATTACAATCGACGATATGGATAATCACAATTATGCAATAGTAAACTAATAACTTTTTTTTATAGTAACTTACAAATTCTGTAATATAGGTATATTTGACAAATATCTAAAATTACATTTTACAATTAATCACGTATATAAAAAAGAAATTAAGTCTAAGATAAACGCACAAAAATAACTGTACTATAATACATAGAAAAATATAATAAAACCCCGTATAACGTGGTAAAAAAAATTGCAACAGCATGTAAAGCAATAAATTTCAAAATTATTTTTATAAACAAATTTTGTCTTTTATAAAATAAACATATTTTCGAATTTTGTACAACACAAAAGTATCGTAGCGAAATATATTCCCCGTGTTATACAGAAATCTACTATATATAAATATTGAAATTTATAAGCACATCCCTGCAGTTGTATATGTTACAAATACAAGTGTATAAAATTTGCAATTTTATACACATAATTAGAAAATAATAAATGTCGTCGAAATAACAAATAAACAAGTTAACCCAAATTAAATATTCTATTATTTAGAAAATATTTAGATCCGAATAATTTTTTGTGTTAATATAACGAATAATAAACCAATAAAGTAAAAAATCATTAAGATATAACACAGGACAAAACGAATTAACAATTTTATAAAAAAAAACTTTTTTTAATAAAAGGACATATGCGTTTTGTTGTGTCGAAGAAAAAAAAATTTCATGTAACAAACATTCTTATTAAGTATATGCAGTATAAGTATCTTATAATGCGCATAATAAGATTTCACATTAACATTACTATATAATTAAAAAACCTCTGCGTGAATAATATACAAATGTATTTTCAATTATCTTATAATAGATTGCCATAGGCATTTCCTACCTCTAGATATCCCTGAATTAGTAAAAAAAAAAAAAACTCGTACAACAGAGGAATATCTCATTCGCACAGTACATGAGTACCTACTACACAAGCACATTTTTACACGTGTATTGTCACCATTTTCCAATTACGATTCATCCTCTAAATCGTAATAAATAAAATTTTACGCCGATCGATCGTCGTGTCAAGCGTTCATGACATCATTCAAAATGTGGTCGATGAGAACTCGCGGTAGCGGTGGATGAGAGCCGGGATGCGATTTTCTGTGGCTGATCAATCCTGGTTTCTGCGTGAAGGCTTTGCCGCAGATGTCGCACACATACGGCCTGATGCCGGTGTGAATGAGAAGATGCTGCTTGAGGGCGGTCCTGCGAGCAAAGGACTTGGTGCAGACGGTGCAACTGTACGGTTTGTCCCCGGTGTGGATCCTCATGTGCACCTTCAACCTGCTGTTCCGCGAGAACGTCTTCCCGCACTCCTCGCAGACCACGTTTTCCCTACGCTCGTGTTGCCTGAGCATGTGCTCGTCGAGGTTCTCCTGACTGACCATTCGCCTCTTGCAGATCTGACACTCATACTTGGCCTTGTAATGCGCGAACTTCTGATGCACGTACAGGGAGTTGCTGTTGAGACAGGTCTTGCCGCAGACGTCGCAGATGACCGGTTGCTCCCGGTGGCTGAAGCGTATGTGGTTCGTCAGGTCGCCTTTGACCTTGAACTTTTTGCCGCAGGTCTCGCAGGAGAACTTGAAGTCGTCCGAGTGTTTGCGCGCAACGTGTATCTTCAGCTCGTACTTGTTCTTATTCTTGTAGTCGCACTGATTGCAATAGAACAGTTCCGGTTGGGTGTCGCAGGCGCCTCGCAGCTCTTTGTGCTTCCGCTTGATGTGAGAGTACAAGGACGACTTCTTGCCGGTCTTGAAGCCGCATTCGTTGCACGAGTACACTTCGCCGACTTCGTCCTCCAGCCTGTGTCGACGTTTGTGCGAGTACAACGTACTCTTCTTCGCGCACGTGAAGTCGCAGAGATCGCAGCGTTCGCTGACGATACTCTTCAGCTCGCTGGATTTCTTCGAAACGTCAGCGCCGAGTCCCTCCACCTTGCAATCTTCCTCCGCGCAAATTTCCTTCTTAATCGTCAAGTCGGAATCTTCTTGATGCGACATCGACGCTGTCTTCTTGGTCATTTCATCCATGTTTAAGCAGGATTTCTCGGAAGACGCGTAGTTGCACTTCGTTATTCTGCGTCTCTTTCTGGCAGTCGTGCTCGGGGGATCTTTCTTAGGTCTCTTATGATTCCGCGCCAAGTGAGACGCCAGAGTGGTGCTCCTTTTACATTCAAAGTCGCACAAGTTACAAGCAAAATTCGTCGTACTCTTGCTTCTGTGCTTAGACATGTGCCTGTTCAGAATCGCCTCGCTCGAATACTCGTGATCGCAAATCGTACAAGCGAGCTTCTTCGTCGTCGTCGTATCTTCTTTGTGTTTCCTCTTCACATGTGCGTTTAAAGTCGCTAGTCTATTACAGTCGAAATTGCAAAACGTGCAAACGTACTTTGCTGCCTTCGCACGCTTTTCTGATGCTTTCACTCGTCTTCCTCGAGCGTTTATCTTTAGATGTCGTGCATATTTCTCTCTCGTGCGAAAATATGACCGGAAAATATTTTCTGGTCTCCTGCGAAACCATAAACGCATCTTGTGCGTTATCTTGTGGCGATTCAGCATAGATTGCATAGAAAATTTCATACCGCATTTATTACAGGTATAATTCTGATCTATCTGATATATGGAGGAATCCATACAATTGTCGACATTGCTCTCTTTCTGATTGTTCGATCGATCCTCGGTATCTTCGATTTTAATGAAGGTCACAGGCGGTGCATCAAATAAACTTATGCCTTCCTCAGTGTTAGCGTTGTCTAACGCTGGTATCAATGAATACCGCAATTTGCCGCCAACGTCGGCATGCTGCCACAGTCTCATCGGTATCGAATCTTTTCCGACGATAAAGCAACCGGAAGCGTCCGTCTGCAAGATCTTCCTGCAGTAGTTTTGTTCTCTAAAACATATTAAAATACAGCGGTTAATCTCAATGGTGTCATTAAAGCTCGAACATCTCAATCACTACTTACTCCAGATTTAAAAGTCGTTTCTATAAGGAAATTTGTATGCAATTGAAGCTTGTGGAACTACATACTTCTTATTTAAAATTAGTCATTAAGAATATTATATCTCTTCAGCACATTGAAAATCTATAATTTTATTGAATACTGGAAATGATATTTAAAAAAAGAATCAATTTGGATAACAATTCACATATAAATATGTCTTTTGTATATATTAAATATTTCAGTATATACATTTCAGAAACAATTTAATATAATAACGTTATTTAATAAATATAACTAGTAAACGTATTTATAACTAATTAGAATTTAATTTTAATTATCATCAATTCACATTTTTCTCGTTGTATAATATCAAGACAAGACATATACATTTATTGATTAAATATAAAAGTAAATACATCCATAAGCATAATACTTTTTATGTACCAAAAATTATACATAAAATGTTCTGTTCCTCTTTCTCTTTTTCAAAGCATCATACAGAGACCACATAATTCTTTATATTTATGTAATACAATTCTTTAATACATACATCATTAATTATAAGATAATATAAATCTTACAGTTGTGTATACACATGCAATGTTGTGTCACACATCAATCACTTATAAGTTATTCTAGATTTGATATAGAGAGATATCTCTACGAGACTCTTATATATTTAGATTTTAAATAATATCCAAACTGTTGCGTATTTTTCCAAGAGGCAGAGGTGATGAAGACAAGTGTGCATCCGGATGTTTCCTATGCGCGATCATGCAGTTCCTCCTCTTGAATGTTTGCTCGCACAAGTCGCAGATATACGGTTTTTCTGTCGAATGCGTGATTAAATGCATGTTTCTCATATTCGATGTCCTGAAACTCCTTTAATCTAAATCTGGCACGTGTACGGTTTGACGCCTGTGTGTATCGTCGCGTGGCTGGTGAAATATTTCTTGCCACACTCTTTACACTCGTAAGTCTTATCGTGTTACTGCATATAACTGTTCTTCTACGTAATCAGCTTTTTGTTGCACACGTCGCAATGAAACTTGTACTCATTCAAGTGCGCCATTTTCCTGTGTTTATACAGGGAGTAATTGCTCGTGTAGAATCTACCGCAAATGTCGCACATGTGCCAGGAACCGTCATGCGTCATCAGATGGAACTTTAAGTCCCATTCTAGCTTGAAGTATTTACCGCAATGCTCGCAGACGAATCTGTACTCGTCGGTGTGTCGCCTGGTGTAGTGGGCCTTCAGATGGGCCTTCGTTCCGCCGCGATAGTTGCACTTACTGCAGCCGTACAAATAATCGGACCTCATTTTTTCATGAATAAGTCGGTGCACATTCAAATTGTAATTGTATTTAAAATTCTTGCCGCAAACCGCACATCTGAAGGAACGATGAAAGCTGTGCTTGCCCATAATGTGACTCAGAATGTGGCTCTTCCGTTCGGACACTGTCTGACAGATGTTACATATGTAATTTCCATTAGCGAGCTTCTTGTAGAAGACGTCTTCTTTTCTGCACCCTTTGTCGATAAGAGATAATTTTTCGTCGACTTCTGCGTTTTTCGCTGTTTTATTTTCACTAAGCTGCTTATCGATGGTAATCTTCCTTATTCCGATTTTCATTAGGTATCTTGATGATTTGAATCAGTTAATATTTTAAGAGATGTCTTCTTGTCTGTGACGGTTTTCGACTCCGATTGATCTACTATCGTCGACTTTTTTTCGAGAAAAATTTTACACAAAATGTCACACTCATCTCTTTGATCAGGAACAGATTTCCTAAAAAATACGAATTATATTTATCAATACAACAAAAATTATTAGAAAGTTTTATATCCACAAACGGCACAAACATATATAGACACATAGATATTTTTAATCATACTTGTTATAAATCAAATAATTTATTTTATATTTTTATAAATAATATAAATTTTATTATACAATTAAATTATTTGTTGTGTCAACTACAAAACATATATATATATATATATATATATATAATAAAAAAATTGTTATATTTTAATTAATTTATATGCATATGTAAATGAAATTTTTTAAAGAACTTTATATACTTAAATAATTTTATATATAAAAATACAAATATTTAACAAATAAATTTTTCTTCAAAAAAATGATAAAATTTACAACTAGTAGTTCTGTAATTTTACTAATAAATTAGCATATATGCAACAAATATACCTATTAGAAGTTAGCCCTTCTCTTTTAGAATTACCATATTTTCACAATTGTGCTGAATTGTGCTATATTGTGCTCAAATTTATAACCATAATATGAAAAATAAAAAAAAATGAAAAAAAAAACAAACAAAAAAAACAATTTATAAGTCAGCCCCCTACTTTTCGTTTTTTTTTCATTTTTGCGTTTGTGCTGAATTATGCTAACATTGTGCTAAAATATTATTTTAAAAAAATAATAAAAAAAGGTTAAGATAAAAAAATCAATTTTTGATAATATTGATTGTCGCATGTTTCATATTATGGTTATAATATTCGAGCACAATATAGCACAAACCTAGCACAATTCAGCACAATCGTGAAAATATGTTCATTATAAAAGTGGGGGGGCTAACTTCTAATAGGCAACAAGTATATAATATATATCAACATACTGCATGAAATTCAATATGACAACAAAATTGTCATTAAATTTTTTACAACGCTGAAGTATCTTATCTCTTTCTATACATATATATGTTTTATTATATTGAATTTTATTTTAATATAATGTATGTGTCTAAATAGGCAGATATATAATTAAAGTCATTATATATCCTGGAAGACAACAAATAAAATAATTAGCTATACGCACATATTAACTTATTATTTAAAGTAAATAATAAAAAATATATGTGAGCAATAAAATATTTTTTATATAATATGTAATCATATTTATATGTTCATGTGTGAGACATTGTGTAGTATTTAATCTCCTATTAATTTCTTACGTAAATTATATATCATTTGTTTTCATACCGCTGTCATATTCTCAACAATATTTCTTATCGATACGATGGAGCTTCCATAACATCTGAATGTTCCTTCTTCCAATGAACAAAGCTGGATGTACAAATGTAAGGACGAATTATGATTACTGTGTTTCAGCATATGCTTCTTATATTCCGATCCATTTATATCAAAAATAATCCTTCAAGGCAATCCTATCACATAATATCTTTTCCTTCCTCTTCAACTTCAACTTCAAGGTATTGAGTTGTCACCACATTGGATTTTTGTCAGCCGTTTAATCTTTTGTCTCAATGTCATATATCTCTTCAGCAAAGTGTTGCAAAGGGTCTTTTTCATCATTTTATTCGTTGATCTAAACAGTCGAAATATCATTGTTTCGGTAACACAAACATAATTCATGTTAGGTCACTACCTCGTCTCAGATTAAAATACGATAATTTGCTACTATTATCTTATTATAAAATCTTTCGAATAAATAAAATACGAATTAATATATTTTATTTTTTAATTTATATATTATCTCAACAGCTGTTTTTTAACATATCTTAAATCTTTTATATAATATATAATACAAAGAATATGTCGTACAATAGAAAACAAATAGCACATACATTGTTATACCTATAACATGTATATCTCTACTCATACATTCACACACTTACTTTATATTTGCTTGTTTTGTTTCACAGAATTTTTCTTTGTTCATTATCAATATCGTGAATTTTATGTAATGTTTTAGATGTTCAGTCCGTCATTAATATATATATATATATATATTTCCTTTCATAAAGATAAATTTCTAAGCAATACTGTACAAATAATAATAAATGTATTATATAATTGGTCTTTTTACTTTATATTTTATAATTTGTATTAACTTCCAATTGTGTTTCAATCATTTTTTTTATTATTTAAAGCTATTATTTTCTCTAGAATTTAAAAATTGGATAATTCTCTTTCAAATAGAAGAGCGAAACATATACTATAAATAATCAATATTACAATAGTACATTTTAACTAAATAATTACATATATATATATAGAAGACCGTTTTATAATTATCTTCTCTTACATATATATGTACGAGACTAGATGAAATCATTTGGTATAAATCTTTTTATATACGTCAAATATATTGATGCGCTTACATTCTGAAGTAAAACTTCTCTAGCAGTAAAGATATATTTTTTTGCAATTAATATTCAATTAATCATTTTATGCTCGTGAAAAATGAAATGAATTACATAACACCTAATGTAAGTGAATGACTGTAGATGCATCAAATGCTATTAATGTATTTAAAAAAAATTTTGATTGTAGATTTACAATGTATCTTTTGGTCATTATTATTGAAGATAAAAATATGTTTATGTAAAATGAACAGTTTCACCTTTCACATTATGATTTGAGCATTTTAAGCATACTTATATATATTTGAGCATACTTATATATATTTAACAGTTAATTAATAATATATTAATCTATATATATATATAATATAATTTGTTATTATAATAATTTTATGAACATCATGTAACTCTATTTTATTCTATGAACACAATAAAAAAAAAGGAAATTTCAACTATTAAATAATGCACCATAAAACAAAAATATTTTCTACTTTCACATATTTAAACATTTTATAGTAATTATAGCTATAATTTTGTACTGTTTCCGTGGCACATATGTATTATCTAATTAAACAATACTTTTTAAACAAAATTTTAACAACAAAAAATGTTATAAAATAGGTTTAAAATATGTAGTAACATATTAGCTAATTTCCATTATGACTAAAATGCAATTAACTAAATGCAATTAAAAAAAGACATAATACAATAGAAAAATAAAAACAAGCAATACAATAAGAGTTTAAAAAATAATTTCAGAAAGTTATGTATGAAAAAATATTCTATTTTCTATAATATAAGAATTTTTATGTAGCCTAATAATAAATATGTTAAGAAATAAACTCGCATTATGCATCACGTTAGGAACTATATATATAAGCATTTGTAACTCAACATACATACTGTGAATACATACATTAAAAAAATTTGAAAAAATGTGAGTCGCGAAACAACATATATATATATATATATATATATATATATATATATATATATATATATATTGTTTTGCGACTCATATTTTTCCAGATTTTTTAAATGTATGTATTCACAGTATAAAATAATACTTGTAGACAATTTTATAGTATAAAGAAGTTGTAACTATTACATATAACTTATATGTAACTATTACATACACTAGCGAATTTGAAGTAATGGGTTTCTACAAAATTATTTGGCCAGGAACTATATATATAAGCATTTGTAACTCAATATACATACTGTGAATACATACATTTAAAAAAATCTGGAAAAATGTCTGTAAGTTTTGTTAAGTTTAGATTGACACAGTATGTATATTGAGTTACAAATGCTTATATATATATAGTTCCTGGCCAAATAATTTTGTAGAAACCCATTACTTCAAATTCGCTAGTGCATGTAATAGTTACATATAAGTTATATGTAATAGTTACATAAAAAAATTATCATTTCAACTTCTTTATACTATAAAATTGTCTACAAGTATTATTTTATAAAATCGAAAAAGATCGTAGACTGACAAATCTAAACTTAACAAAACTAATACTTTCTATGTTTGTACTTCTTATGTTTCAGAAAACAAGCTCTATATTTAAACACGGCATCGCAATAATTACATTTAAAATTTAGCAAATGTCGTTTTAAATGTTTTTTGAGCAATTGTGCCGTTCTAAACTGCCATTTACATTGTGGGCATTTAAAAGACAACATTCGTTCTTTGAATAAATTCAAATCGTTGTTCAGCTCATCGACATTTCTGTTATTACATCGTTGTAACTCTATCTATTCAACCTTATTTTCCTGCGTTTCATATTTCTCGACATCAACTTGACACTTCTCTTCGCATTCATGACTATAATTCTTGTCGTTCTGATCGTTGTGATGTTTACGCATGTGTTGCATAAGATGACAATTATCTTCGCATACATCGGCACACACATTGCAAACAGTATGAATCTCCATATGCTTCAAGAACGTCGTCTTAGTTTCGAATAATATAGCGCAAAAATAGCATCGAAATTTATACATGTAATCAGGAAACAATTTTTTATCGTCTTCATATGATGATATAGGAAGCTTGAACGACTGTTCAGTCTTAAGACCTTCATCACAAACAGGATACTTGTATGGATTGGCATTATCATGATCTACCATGTGTCTCTTTACGTTGCAATTCATCTTTAAATTTTTCCAGCGTAAATCTAGATCTAAATTTTCTTCGTCTTCGGATGCGGTTTCTGTCGAGGATGATACTAATTCATCTTTTTTATTCTTATATGTTTTGAAATCCAACGAAATATCGCTCAAATCTTTCTCCGGGCCATCGATCACAATCGTCTTCTTTCTGGTTTCGACGAAATTTTCAGGCTTTTTCGTAGATTTAGGAATCTCTACGTTTTTATACGTATCTTCAGGCTTTTCCGTAGATTTAGGAATCTCTACATTTTTATATGTATCTTCAGGCTTTTCCGTAGATTTAGGAATCTCTACGTTTTTTTCCAGTGGACGACACGGCGGTGGTACAATCTCGGTTTTGTTTCCGTCTTTGAAATTTTCAGGAGAACATTGCATCGGGACAAGATAAAATTGATGATTGAATTGAATCACAAGATAATTTTGTTCAAGAGGACCACGTGGCACAGACCTAAAAATAAGAAAAATCCATTAGTTTAGCAAAACATGATTCTGTACAGACAAACACATGCTACCACCTATTACGCATTAAAAACATTTTTGAATATTTCCCCTCTAGATATTAATAGAAAATTATTAACATATAACATATTATTATAACACATTTAACATTAATATAAAATTACAAATCCTGCTATTATAAAAATATTTACTGCATTTATTCCAAAAATATATATATCCTTATTATTCAAATAAATTAATAAATATTATACTTTTCTGCTATACATTTATTATGTATCCATTCATTATTTTATTTTAAAATTGTATTATAAACATTTATCCATTTTGTTCATGTAATATTTCAACATAATTAAAACTTCTGAAATCTCAAATTGAGCATTATGTTATTGTAAATCGAATTTTTAAAGCACTATTAATTCTGTAGCATCATCTGTTTGTTTTGTGATTATTACTTAAAAAAAAGTTATATTAGTTAAAGTATATACAATATTCCTTTACAACATTTAAACATATATTCTCAATGTAATAAAAAAATATTTTATTATTGAAAATTAACATCTAGTTAATCAATATTACATAATATATTGTTGTTATTATACTTTTTATTATAGGTAACATCTTAACCATTTCATCAATTGATTGCACCACTTTATCATTGTGAATAGCATAAATAAATTCGCGTTTAATAAAAACATATGGTATTTATTTATGTATATTACATCGATTTTATGCTGTACATTGCATCCCATAAAATAAACAAAAGCCAATCGCATTCAGGCTCGCTGAATATTCCCAAATAAAATCGTATCTCCTTAATTTCATTTCAATAAAGATTGAATGGAAAATACTACCTTTACGGTCAGAAATGTAGAATAAAACGCGAATATAATTCATTAAATAAACTAATATTTTCCAAAAGAAATATATAACACATTTCTTTGTACTATACATAGATAAAATGTAAAGTCGTATCACATAAAATGATATATCGTTGATAATAATATTAAATTTTCAGATCATGAAACTACCTAGACAATATTAAAAGATATTATGGAAAATGTTATTATATTTCACTGCATTTTTATGTGTAAAAATAATATTGAATCTAATGTGGCAACAATAGCATATTTTTCATTCAACTCAGTTTGTAAATAAGGATTGGAAGACTTAGATATACAAACAAATATAATTAAACAATTAAAAAATGCAAGATTTAAGCAAAATGTCAAAGATAAAATAAACTATATATAATATATAATTTTAGATTTATACGCGTTACTCTCTTACATTATATGTATTTACAATACATTTGGTTGGTATTTGCATTATTAAAAAAATATTTTAAACAAAAAATATATGCATATGCGATAAAATTTAGAAAATAACTAGAAAAATATAGAGAATATTTTTGTAATTCCAAACATTACAGTCTTTCTTCAAATGTTTGACATCTACAAGAGGATAAATATAATAAATACTCGAATGAAGAATTTGGAATCTAATCGTAAATGTGTGTCATAAGCGCGATAATCCAGCATGTTAATTCCTAATTTGTCCTCGAGTAAATACATTGCGTTTCGATGAATATGAAAATAAGATCGACATACCAACACACGGGATCACACGGGATACATTTTCAAGAACCGAATCCTCCTGAATATTATCGCCTCATGCAGGCAGGATCATCCAAATCTCATTACTCTCTATCTTACAAATGGATCGTCGTTGAGATAATATTCACAATTATTTCCACTATCTCTTTGCTTTATATTAAAAAGATATAAAAGTACAAGACCCCAGCAACACAAGATGGTGTTCTCTTTTCATTTCACAGTTCACCATCCGCCATACACATACACACATGCACACATACACGAAAAATTACTTGACACTCTTATTCACAATAATTTTATCCTGCACACCATGCAGCAGATTCGTAATTTTGATAGGCGGTGGCGGTGGATGCACGCCAGGATGCTTCTTCCGATGCAACATCATCGGCGAACGCTGAGTGAAGCTCTGGCCGCAAATGTCGCAGACGTAGGGTCGCTCGCCTACGTGAGTCAGCAGATGGATCTTCTGCGAGCTGAGGCAACCGAAGGTCTTGCCGCATATCGCACAGAGATACGACTTCTCGCCCGAGTGCGTTCTGAGATGCTTCGTAAGGCCGTACTTGAATTTAAACTCCATGCCGCACTGCTCGCATACGTACTTCATCTTGTGCAACTCGGCGTGGCTGTCGAGATTCTTCTGGGTCTTGAAGCGCTTCCTGCAGATCTGGCACTCGAATTCCTTCACCTTGGTCTTGTGCTTGTAATGCTTGTGGAAGTACAGGGAGCTCTTGCTAGGATAGGACGTGCCGCATATGTCGCAAACGCAGGATTCCGTATCGTGATCCTTCATATGGGTCGTGTAGTCAGATTGGACCTTGAACATCTTGCCGCATTGTTCGCAGCTGTAGTTATAATCTTCGGTGTGCTTGCGAATGTAATGTATCTTCAGATACGGCTTCGTGCGAGCTTTAAAGTCGCATAAGGTGCACGCATGCAGCTGCGCCGGCTCGTCGTGAATCTCCATGTGCCTGGAGAGATACGCCCCGGTTTTGAAGCCCTTAGAACAGACCGTGCACTTGTGTGGCCGTGAATTGCTGTGCTTGAACATGTGACTAGTGAGCTTGCTCTTGCGGTCAAACGTGATGTAACAAATCTCGCACATATGCGACTTCTTCTTCTTGTTGGGTCGCGCCTTCGAAAGTTCGTTCTTCTTGTGTCGTTTCCTGAAGTCCAACGGAGTATCGTCTAAATCGTCCTCCGGGTCATCGATCACAGTCTTAGTCTTCTTTCTGGTCTCGACGCGATCTTTACTCTTCTCGGTGCGATTCTTGTTTTTTTCGACGTGATTCTCGGCCTTCTTTTCTTTCGCTGACTCGGTTTTGGAACTATTTTCCTCGGTGGCGGGCGGCGGTTCTTTCATCATGAACACGCTCAAGGACTTTGGGATGCGAAAATAATCGTCTTCCAGTTTTACTATCAGAAAAGTTGACAAGAGTGGATCTAGTTGATTGAACCTAAAAAAATTATAAAAATTGTCAGTCCATTTTCTGCGGTAATATAATGGGAGATATGATCGTGCTGGTTGCACGCGAGCATGCATTGGGGTGCAACCTCAACTAAAAATTTCGCTAAACGAAAAGCTAAATAAGGGCTAAATTCTATGGAGATAACTTTTTCTTATTATTTACAAATATATTCTTAAATATTTTTTTCTTATTATTTTTGATTTTAAAATTTATTCATAATTCGATAAATATATAATGGACTCTTGATTACTTTAATAAAAATATACAAACTTTTTAATTTCTATTAATTAATATATAAATAAGCTTCATAAAATGAACACAATTTTAATCAAATATATTTACAGACAATATTTATTACAGACAGTTTAATTTGTGCGCTTTTTATGAGATTTAAAAATTCTGTCTGTAAAAGTGATACAATTAAATATTGTTTATTTTGTTGTGTTGCATAAAAAAAATTTCAAATATCTCAGATAATCTATATGATTGAATGCGCATTTATAATATGTAGGAAGTATTTCAGTTTAAGTCGTTTATCATAAATAAGGCTTTGCTCCGCTATACTAAGTAAATTTTATTTCATTAGGTTTTCGGAAATTTTAGTCTATAAAGACCCACAAACCTGCAAGTCTTTTTATGTGATAATTTTTATTCAATGTGATGATTTTGCACATTTTTTGACAGATATTATATTCGTAGTTTGTAGAATATCACGACACAATTCTTCAACTGATTATTCGAGAAGAGCTTATTGCAGATGGAATATATTTCGTATTTAACATTCAAACATCGTCAACTTGTCGATACTTATATGTAAATTGCAAATTTTTTCGTTGCTGCTTGACAAAATATTTCTGAAAGAGAATGAGAACATTTACAAATCTAACTGTATTCTTATATCTTTACAACAATTGTACGAATTATTAATTTATTATATTACTTTTTTATTCAGTCACCTGGTAAGAAACTGGTTTGATTTTTGTCACTTTGTTTCCTTTTCGTAACACACAAGCACTCTTATACTTATAATCATTTCACACAGTCGACTCCTGAAAAATTAACAAGTTTAATAAGTAAAAGAAAATGTATCGCTCCGTTTAAGAGCCTGATGTCACAATAATTTGTAAAAATATAAATTATTATAAACAAAGGATAAGAGAAATTCTTTTATTTCAAATATAAAAAAATGTATATTAATATTTAAATTAAATTTTTGTAAAAAACATTTATCCAAAAGTATATTTCGATAAATTACGTACTTATTAAAAGGCCATTATATATATATATATATATATATATATATATATATATATGTCCTCTCTTTTCACAATCAACAAATCTTATTATTTAATAACATTATCATAAAACAGAAAACTTTTTATTTTGAATATTTTTAACTTTCATTATCCATTAAATGTTGATTCTAAACATATCATATCTGGACAAAAATTAATACAGTAATTATTCGTTCAAACATGTTCGTAGTAGCAAACTAAAATTAAGGAGAAGATATTCTCTATATAGTTAATTATGTCAATCAAATATGCAATAATTTGTTTCTGATATAGTAAAATCTAATTAACATCAAAATAGCATAAATTAATTTTCTTTACATAAGACAGTTCTAATTGATTGAATTGAAAGTAAGTTAATGTGTATATAAAAATCTACATAATTATAAAAAAATATGCTTTAAAAAATCATAGATAATAGATATATTTTAAAAGTATATAAATATTCAATCATTTTTAAAACATATATAATTCAAATTATCATATAAATAAACTATATAAAAATAAATCGTATTCTTGTAGACAAGAGATGTACAATGTTATTCGCAAAAATATTGTTTATCCATTTTAAAATGTGCAATGTGTCTTATATATATATTTTTTAAAATCAATTTCCACACAAAATATCATCTTTCAGATAATGTTACGTAATTTTCCACGCCTCCACTGGTGATTAGCCACAATCGAGCATTCGACACAAAACTCTTGTCGATCTAATTGTTTTCAACTTTTTGAAGATAATTTTTGACGAGCTCGACTATCCATGGACTCATTATCAATAATGGTAGCAGTGGTCCCGGATAAATCATCTTGTGTTTGAATAAATTTGAGCGATGCGTGAAGTCTCCTTCGCAAACAAATCTCTACTCGTGATTGCTGTGAAAATTTAATGTCTCTTCAATGTCACCCTGCTCTTGTACCTCACATGACAGATCGTGCACTCGAAGAAATAATCCAAACCATATTCCTTCTTGTGCTCTTCCAGCACTCTTGATGTGCAGCAAGTTCTCTTACATTTGTCTGACATGTTGTTGGACCTTCTTCGCACTGTTGAAATGTTTCTCACAAAATGAACACGTTTTTTTTACGTTTTCCATAACTGCGTCTCCACTTTAGTTATATCTTTGTGTAAATTCACAGAGTCGATGTTTTTCTGCTGCGATTTTTCTCTGAGAGAGACTGCACCTTGACTGAAACATCGTTGCCTTTGACAGCTGTTGCAGACTTCTGCAAATTTAATAGCAAATCTTGATTAATCGATTTATCCACGTGTCGATACTGAACTGTAACAGAATTAATTCTTCCACTTGTCTTCGTCAAATTATATGCACATTCAACGGACTTCCGCGAGCTCAATAAAATGAAGAAATGAATAGATCCTTTTCGGTATCGTCTTCCTTTCTGCCTGATGATAGACTTTTCTCTGAAACAGGGATAAATTGTGTCAGTGTAAAGTATCGGTAGCGCTATTTCTACACAAATTCAAATCACGATGAGCTAATAAGCAATTGTTGCGTGAGAGGCTTCTGTAAAGAAACAGATATTTCACTATTATTACACTGATCACTATTATCACAATCAATTCTGTAAATTTATCAGAAAACTTTTATACAAATTATAACATCGATAAATTACGCTCATAACATCACAATATGTTTGTTACACTTGCATTTCGTTACATCCAGAGATACAATCAATCTGAAACGAATATACATGTACTTATTTACGATATTATTTCGGTAGAACAAAATCTATTATAATCAAATTATGATATAAATTTTCTTTTATTGTAAAGAATGGAGTAAATATTTTTTCTTGAGCAAAGTAAGGATGACTATGTCATGCAACAAGGAGAATATTACACATTAATAATAATTTTAATTACAAAAAAAAAATTTATAAAAATACTTCTTTATTTATTAAATTTCGTTACAAACAATATTCCGTTCAAAAATAGAATTTGAAATTATATTTGTTTTGTAATATTATTAATATTATTAATATCATTAATCATAATGTATCACATACGCAATAATCAATCCAGATGTGTAGATATTTCAAATAAATGTTTATCTTTTGTGTATTCACAAAAAAGTTTATATAATTTTTTAATTAAACACACTTTAATTATCAATTTTTTATCAGAACAATTTCTTTAAAAAAATTAAGCAAATAATTATTTATATACATTAATGATGAATTATTGTAAAAAAAAAAATAATTGGAAATAATACTTTTTGTCCATTATAAAAAAATAAATCAGTCTTCGGAAATCGATTATCTCTGTAAACACAGGCACATAGTCTCTTAAATTACATTATATTATAATTATAATTTTATTTATATGTCTCATTCAATGTAAAGATGAGTTGTTTTCATATACGTATAATAACAGATTCTTTACAATATCCTAAATAAAAAATGTATTTACCTTAATTTCGTGTGTTAATCTTTCAGAAAGATTTTCACTTATAATATATCTAAAACAGAAATATAATGTATTGCATTTTATTGTAAAAATATATTAAAATAAACACAAATTAATATTCTCTCGTATCTATTTTATATTTATATGCTCACGGATTCAGTCAAATGTATTTTTTTTTTTTAATTAAACATAATACGATATGTTTTCAAACTGAAAATCAATCATTTTTTCAACAGATAACAATATTATTGCATTAATAAACTATGATTTCAAAAATTTCTGTAAATCGTTTTTAGCTAAACTGGCGATGGGAATCTGCGATGTATAAGCCGGAAGAGGACCAGGATGATTTTTTCGATGCCGGAAGAGATTGGAGCGCTGAGTAAAGTCTTCGCAGATATCGCAGTTGTATGACCTGATGTTGCTTCAACGTTATCTCGCACTTGTAACTCAAGTGACATATGTCACACTCGAAGAAGTAACCGTAACTATGACTCTTATGACGTTTTTGCAGCTCCTGTTTAGTATAAAATAAGAAGAACACATGGCACTTGTAAGGTCTTTTCCCAGGGCTCATTATGATGTCTTTTCAAATACTTCTCATGACTGAAACATTTCAAGGACAATGGACACATTTCACACATTCTCGATCCACATCTTCCAGCTCTTCATTCTCCTTTGCAATGTCTTCAGATGATGATATTTCCGTCATAGACTCAACCTTTTCTTTATCCGACTTTTGATTTAGTTCTATCGTTGTATTAAGGACTCTTTACACTTTTCTTTCGTTTGTTGTTTATCCTGTGTGTACCTTTTTATTGATGTTTTCCTATCATTCTTATTAATTGATATAATTACTTTTTGATACTTTCTACTATTCCATATAGTGATCCATCGTCTCCTGAAACATCCATTAATGTCAATCAGTACAAACACGCAACATGCAGGACAAAAGTTTAGACTCTTCACGAAGAACACTAATACACAATCATAAACTGATATTTGTTAAAACTCTCATACAATTTTACACTCTATAAATTTTTCAAAAAATTAAAACAGGAGATCAAATACCCAATTAAAAATATATTTTAAGATCAAAACAAGATTACGATAAATTTTACTTATAACAATTTTTAACAATTATGTTTTAAATACAGGATGTTCTATGGATTCTCAATATAATTTTTTTGGTAGTCTCTTCAGTAATCATCTAATTCGAATTCCTACCCAGTTAATTCGACTTTTGAGCGTCAAGTTTGCTAAGCTGCAACGATGGCGGCGGAGGATGACTGCCGGGATGTTTGCGACGATGTACCATCATGCTGCTTCGTTGCGTGAAACTCTGTCCGCAAAGATCGCACACGTAGGGTCTTTCACCTGTGTGCGTCAGCGAGTGCACTCTGAGAACCGCGGATCTCGTAAAGGCCTTCGCGCATATTTTGCACTGATAGGGTCGCTCGCCGGTGTGTATACGAGTGTGCAGTTTCAACGCGTGATTTGTCGCGAACTCTTTGCCGCACTGGGCGCAGAGGAACCTCTGCGAGTGCAAATTTATGTGATTACATAAACTGTACTCTGAGGCGAAGCTCTTGCTGCAAAGCTCGCATCGATGCTGCTTCAGTTCGGTCTTCCTTATTCGATGAATCATACGTTTGTGCGCGACTAGATGCGACTTCTGCGAATAAGCATTCCCGCAATACTCGCAGATGAAGGTTTTGGCGTCCAGGTGACTCGCCTTGTGATCCTCGAGATCATAATTCGACATGAATCTCTTGTCGCACTGTTCGCAGCGATACCGAAAGTCCCGCCTGTGCATTCGTCGAACGTGAGTCTTCAAAGAGATTTTGTTCGTCGTGATGAAACTGCACATTTCGCAGGTGTATGTGACTCCATTGTGGATCTGCGTGTGGGTCACCAATTCTGACGAACGTTTGAAGGCTCGTTCGCAAATGGTGCACTTGTACGGACGTGCGTCACTGTGCTTCACCACGTGACGTTTCAAGTCTCCTCGTCGATTAAACTGAGCTCCACACGTGAAACATTCGTGCATCGTCCGTTTCTCTTTTCTCTCGGCGTTAATCGAAGTGTTCCCGATGTCAGGACGTGTAATTTGCACTTTTCGACACGTCACCTTCAAGAATTTCTTCTCTGATGCTGCTTCCTCTTCTTCATTCTTTATGTTTAGCGGGTCTTCGATTATTGAATCGGAATCTATTTTTGATCGCGCGCTGTTCTGCTTCTCGGGTTCATCTTCTTTCTTGATTTTGGTATCACGTCCTGTCAACACTCGGACCTCGAGGGTTCTGTAAGAAACAACAGTAAGTTTTCAGCATGATATTTTACGCAATCACATCACCATGTTGTTCATTGATACCTTCTTCTCTTGAGACTCTGAAGTTTCTTACAAGGATACATGACCCAGGGATTTAATTTTTCGCAATCTAATGTTAGGAGGAGAGTTAATGCTCGTTCAGACCAAGGAAACTAATTTAGTTGACAAAACAATTTCGTAGTCAAACACTTTTGATGTACGAATTATTTTATTAAACGTATAATAACGAATATCATCAGTGATGATTAACATAAATTTATCGATGCTTTGTCCACATTTGAACGAGCAAGCTTGGAGTGTTACTATCACGCTTGTATAAAATTGAAAAAAAAGAAAAGAACAGATAAAGAAATTAGAAAACGACGTTTTTTTGTTCAACAACTTATTGGCATTATGTTCGGCTTACATGTTTATATCCTTACCTATCTACACTGAAAAAATAGAACAACAATATATTCGTAACGGAACACTTTGAGCACGGGTAGTACAAATATGTAATTCATAAAGAACCGAACGAATAAAATCGCGCGTAACTTTGTCTTTTGAACGCTGCACGCAAACATTACAACCGGTATACAAAAGATATCAGAGATTTCGTATCGATAAGTATCGAATCAACATCTATTGATGTTGCTTAACGTCGTAGTATATATATATATATATATTTATTCATATATATATATATATATATATATATATATAATCTATAATAGTCAAAAAGTTTTTCCAGTCTCTTTCTAGTTGTTACGATACGTAAGTAACAACACGTAAAATCACGTATACTATCGCACTAATCTTATCATTAAATGTGGTCGTAGTTTGAATCGTCAACGCGGCACCAACAAGAGTTTCAAGCACAGAAAGGTTTAAATTTGTCATTGAGGTTTAGACGCAGGTAGACTTCTGATGGGCCGTCAAATTACCCTGGCAAGAGAATCCACGGTGGCATATCTGGCAGACGTAAGGCCGTTCTCCGGTGTGACCGCGTCTGTGAATCGTCAACGTCGATCTTTGCGAAAACGCTTTCGGACATTGATCGCACTTGTACGGCTTCTCCCCCGTGTGCACCCTTCTGTGCATCCTCAGATTCTCTGAATCGGTAAAACCCTTTCCGCAGATATCGCAGACGTACGGCTTCTCCCCCGTATGAATTCGCCGATGCTTCTTCAGGTGTTCGGCGCTGCTCAAACTCTTGCCACAATAATCGCAGAGGTAGAGCTTCGTGGGATTGTGGCTCTCCTTGTGTCGAAAGAGCGACCTCTTCGTGGCTAGTACACGACCGCAGATATCGCAAGTGGTGCTGGTCACTTTGTTGGCTTTCAACTCGGGATGCGTGCGTCTACAGTGCGCGGAGAGCTGTCGTCTGAGATAGAAGGCGCTGTTGCAGAGTTGACAGACGAACGGCTTCTCACCCGAGTGTATGTTATAGTGCTCCTGAAGATCGAGCTTCTTCCGGAAACGCTTGTCGCACTCGTTACACTTGAACGGCAGATCCGCCTTGTCCATGTGTCGCGTCATATGAATACTCAAGGCCGCTAGAACGGTGGTCTCGTAATCGCACTCCTTGCACACATAACTCGGTAAGAAGTGCGTCTTCTCGTGCCTCGTTAGGTCGCGAAACAGTCGGAATTTCTTGGAGCAGTGTTTGCAAGGGAGATCTCCTACCGTGTGGCGCAGCAAGTGCTTCTGATAGTTGCTCTTGTGTCGAAAGACCTTGTTGCAGGTCTTGCAGAGAAACTCCAGCTCGGACTTCTCTTTCTTCACCTTCTTCAAGGACGCGGCACGACCGGCCATCCCCGAGGAGTTGCCCTTGCGACCGCTTTTACGTACCGAATGCATCTTCATGTGCTTGCGAAGACTTACACCAGTTCTGAAGACCCGGCCGCACTGACCGCATGTGTTCTTCCGCTTACCTTTGTGCTCGATCTCATGATTATCCAACAAGGATTGCGAGGCGAAGAAGACGCCGCAGAGCTTACAGTGATACGCCAAAGGTAGATCGTCCTCGTCATCCACTTCTTGTTTTACAATGTTTACGGGATTTGTTGAAGTCGCTGCTGCCCCATCAATCGCGTCCGCCGGTTCCTGGCACTTCGACGTGGATTTCACGGGCTCGCCATTCTTCTTCACCAAGTCGAGCTTAGAGAACATTTCCATCGGGTAATATTCATCGGGAAACGGTAGCTGGTTGTATCTGGAATTGAAAAATTCAGGGGGATATCAGTATCGAATATCCTTTCTGCGTCGCAACTATCTTTCTTTCATTGCTCGATCTCGTTGCCTAGCAAATTATTCTATTCCTGTAAGTAAAATTGTTGACCAAACTTACAAGCTGTGTTAATTATGTAATGTAAAGCGAATAATTCGATAAAACATTCTCAGTGTTTTATTAAACTTCATAAAAAAGTCGTGTATGTATGTACTTGAGAAATGTATACTGATATATACATAAGAGAAAAACACTTTAAATGTGAAAGAGAAAGTGACACGATTCAAGTAGTCATTTAATTCTGAATAACACTTTTATTCATTATAATAATACATAATGCAGGAAATATCCCATAATTAAAAAAAAATTACTACTCTTATTGCAATATTTCGCATACAAAATAATCACGATACGTATTTTTTCTATTACTCTTTTTACTCAAAAATTATTTTATTAAAATTTGATACAAAGTTCTTTTTGCACTAATTTCTTTTTAAAATCTAAATTTATAAATTTATTAATTTTTTATTATAATTTATTTTTGTGATATATTTTACATATTTAAACATACAAAAAAAGTGAACACTTATGTTAAATTATAAGAAAATTATTAAAAAATGAAAGTCTAAAGAAATCATGTAAAATTTAATAAAATTGATTCTTTAATTTTTGTAATGTATTTAATATAGAAACTTGTGCTATTCATTCAATATATTGCATTGTTTTAGAAAAAATAAATAATTTTGTTGAATAAAACGGAAAAAATATTAGCAATTTCAATTTTTTATAAACAATTAATTTACAAATATAACGTGTTAGCAATGTTACATTTCTTTTGAAGAAACTATTAATGAAAATCAAATATGTAAGCAATCATACACATACATACACACATTATAGATGCAGTATCAAACTACAAGATGGCAGTATATAACTAATTGTCTCTATTTTAGATTTTCCTCTAATCTAAGGTTTTTCTCTTTTACTATTTCATATTTGTGGTTTTTCATATTTGAATGCAAATGAAAAAACAAAGTATCCAAAATTTTTTTTCTACGCATGTGTCATTAAAATAATTATGGAAACTAAGAAAAATCTCAGAAAGAAATCTTGGAAGGGTGGAAATGTTCTTAATTTTGATGACTTTAGAATAGAGGAAATCGAGTAATATCGCTTCACTTTATCTCACAAAATTGTTTAAGTTTATACACAAGTCTGATAATATCACGCAAGTGTTTCTAATATAAGACACAATTGATCTAGTACAATAGAAATTACCTGTATTTAAAATAAAGATTTAAACTATAGAACTATTTGTGTGCACTGGCTACATGAGCATCACATTAACTAAGTGTACTTTATTGTGAGCGTTCAATAATCCTTTAGATACAAACGATTTGTTACAATAACTACACTGATACGGTCTTTGACCCGTGTGATATCGTTTATGTATAACAAGAGTTGAGTGTTGCGTGAAGGATTTTCCACAGGTATCGCACGAATAAGGCTTTTCGCCGGTGTGTGTTCTCTTGTGCACGACCAACGTTGTCCTCTTGTGAAAAGCCTTGCCGCATACATCGCAGACCAACGACTTTTCCCCACCATGAAGACGCAGATGATCCTGAAGGGATCCTTTAGACGATACCGACTTACCGCACAGATGGCAATCGTATTTATTTTCGCCAGTGTGCGACTTGACGTGCACCACCAGCGAGTTCTTGTAGGCGAATGTCTTGCCGCAGAACTCGCACTGATGCTTCACAGGTTTGAAGTTAGGATCGTGAATCTTCAGGTGACGCACCAGGGTGTGATTATTAGGAAACGACTTGTCGCAGGCGGTACACACGTGTTCCTTGGCCCCGTGCTTCACGTTCATGTGCCCGTGGAGCTCGGCATTCGTGAAGAAGCCCTTGTTGCAGATCTCACAGTGTCTCGTGTACTTCTCGAAGTGACGTTTGTGGTGGGTAGCCAGCTGAGAGGCCTGGACAAACGCGCGACCGCACACGTCGCAGACAAAGTTTCTCTCGTGAGTGTGGATTCGTTTGTGTACCGCCAAAGTGTTCGTCCTCTTGAAGGATTTGCCGCAAACGTCGCAGTGATAGGGTCGAGCGTCACTGTGCGCTACTAAATGACCCTCGAACAGATTCTTTGATCGAAAAAGCTTCGTACATATGTTACACTCGTAAAACGTTTGACTGGTGGATTGCTTCTTCAGATTCAAATCACTTAGAGTAAGTTCTTCATTTCTAGTTTCTTCAAGTTCTTCTTGCGTTAATAGATCATCCTGAATGTTCTCGGAAGAATCAGGTTCCAAATTTACAACCTTATGTGGCACGTATAGTTCTTGCTTTGTAATTTTTTCTTCTTTAATGGAAATAGAAACCAACGCAGAATCATGTACAGACAGTTCATTTTTTATACACGTCTCTGCTGGTTTCTCATTTCTGAAAAGAAAATGAAATAATGACTATATATATTTAATTTAAATTGTTACAAACATTTTTTAATTAGAGAAAAATTTTATTTTTAACTTTATTTATATATATATATTCTTTTTCCCTTATTAAATATAATTACGATGTAACTTTCACATTATATATTATAAACAAAAACATTTTTTTCCATAAAAAAAGCTGTATTTAGCATAGCTGTATCTATACATATATAAAGTCATAATTTAATGCATCGTAAACGTTAAAAAGAGAATATTTTGATTTTATATTCTATAGTATAATAAATGGGTTTAGTTATTTATAATTACTACGTAATTAAATTTATTTTCTCATATATTAAGATTCTCAGTTTAACTTTAAGTAGGGTAGTTTTGTTAAACAATATTAGATTTAAAAATATAAAATGTGTTAATAACCGATCACAACTGACAATGTTATTCTTTAGTTATTTATTCAAAATTCAGACAACGTTTCGACCTTAGTTCAGGTCCTTATCAAGTCTGCTATGAAATAAATTGACACACTTCTACATAATAAAATTCGTCCTACGTTTGTTGGACATTAACGTCGTGATATTAGAAAACGAACTAATATTAGATTTTAAATTGTAATTATAGGTTCTACATACAAAGAGTTAAACATATATATATACACTTTTTATTAAAAAATAAATAAATTTTATATACTTATTAAATTTTTTATTATTCCTTACACATAAAATTTTAATAATTTTTTATACTATATATATATATATATATATATATATATATATATTTCCCTTATTTAAAAAAAAAATCTGCAAATAAAATGAGTAATCGAATAAAAATAATACTAAATATTAAACTCTCAGCCTCAAAATACAAAATAATGCGTACCTTTCAGGAATTTGCAGTAAATCTTTATTACAATATTTGCAATCCAGTTGAAGTATTCTCATATTGGCGATCGCGTTCCATCATCTGCATATATTATTCATATATGACGTCTTCACTACCTTCAATATATGTCTTACATAATAATTTTAATAAAATGCCAGATATAAATGTAAAAAATATCTAATAAATTACAACTATAAAAAAACATATGTGTACAATGTGTATATTTATTATACATTTTTTATTTCTAATATAGATTAATAAAAGTTCCAGCAAAATATATACAGTACCAATAGAAAATCAATGTCATATGTAATATTCCGAACTTTACAAAATTAAAAATAATAAAAGTTTAACATGTATTTATATATTACGCTGCTTCAACGCAACTAAAATGTAATTCTAGTTTCATGATATTAGAAATATATAATATTAAAACTTTAGAATATTGATTTTCTGTATTTTATATTAAATAATATTATTTAAGAATTTTTTAACATAAAAATAAAACATTGATTTGCATTAACAAATTAGATAATTACAAATCAAACTGCTTCTAAATAAAATAGAGAGCAAAATATTTTGTTAAAATAAATTTACTTGTTAATATAATATATATAATGTGTTTTTTCATTAGATTCTTTATTATATGCACAGAAAATTCAATTTGTATAATAATTATCTTTTAGTAAATAACAAATATATAATAATGATTATCACATTGTTTTAAATATATAATAATATTTATAAAGTCATATCTTTTTCGATTAAAAAATTCTTAAATAGATGTAAAATAATTTCAACTTAAATATTTATTGATCGTATTTAACAGCATCTATCTATTAATATTCGAAATACATTTTAAAAAACAATATTTGTATAAATTTTTAAGTTTTAATACTATTTGTATATGTCCATTAAAAAATTACTATCTCATACCTCTAATGGAAAATGAATAATTTTTTACATGCACTTCATTCGGCGAAATGTTATCACAAATTGTACAGATTGAATTTTATTATATTTGATTTAATAATTATGTATATGAAACGATATAACTCATTATGTTCAATGATAAAAACAAGAATCTAATATATTTGTATAAAAAATTTGCACTTATGCCCTTTTAACATCATAATCATGATCGTATTTTGCAATTATACATAATAATTCGAGATGCATTCTTCTTATATAATCATATTATACAAATCATCATATTATACAGATCGTATTATACAAATTAAATTGGAGATCAGAAGTTCACACTTAACTTAAATAGAAGTCGAAAAGTGTCCTATTCATTTACTCTCATTATGAGATTTTACGTGCGAGTTTAACGAACCCTGCTGCGTAAATCTTTTCTGACACACCTTGCACTCGTAGGGTCTCTCACCGGTATGCGTTCTCAGATGCACGATCAGATACTTCCGTACACTGAACGCCTTACCGCACATTTCGCAAACGTGCGGCTTCTCACCCGAGTGTATACGCATGTGAATCTGTAGATACGTTTTGCTGCTCACGGATTTCCCGCATACTTCGCAGGTGATCTGATTCTCGCCCGTGTGTATCTTAAGATGCACCTTCAGTGCGGCCTTCCAGTAGCTCTCGAAGTTACAGATGTTGCATTTGTGCTTCTCTCTCTCGCCGTGGGACTTCATGTGCATGTTGAGATAGGCCGCGCTCGCGTAAGCGATGTTGCACACTTTACAGATGAATGGTTTCTCGCCGGTGTGCGTAAGCAAATGACGCTCCAACGTCTGATTCGTGTAAAAGCCCTTGCCGCACATCTCGCAATGAGTCACGTATTCCTGATTGTGCTTCTTCTTGTGAAGACGCAGATCGTATCCGGAGACCTTCGAGATGCCGCATATGTCGCAGGTAAACCGTTTATTGTGCTGTTTCAGATGGATCTTCAAGAATTCCTCGGTCTTGAAACACTTGCCACATAAAACGCATTGAAATGGTTTCTCCTTCTGATGCACCTTGATCATATGTTTTTGTAGCTTCTCCTCATCTGCAAAGACCTTGTCGCATTCCTCGCAACGATTCTCGGTCTTCGAATTCCTCTTGTGATCCTGTCTGTGCTTAAAAAACTGTAGCTTCTTCAGCATTTGCTTCCCACAAATTTCACACTCGTAAATTGTCGTGTCTTTTTTGCAACTCGACTTATATTCAGGAAATTGTTTCACATTATCTACTTTATCCAATGCAGACTCTTCCAGTTTATCGTTCGATTCGACCATATATTCAACCGTTTCCGTAATTATTTCTTGATGACTGATATGATACTCTTCCACAGTAGATCCTTCATCCTGATATCGCACTAATTGTATGTCTTGCAATTCTTCGATCGGTTGCAGCTTTACACTGTCTAAGTCGATCTCGACGCACCTGTAATAAATAATTTTTCGTCAACAACGCGTGAGGAAGTATCGTGTATAGAATAATACAGTCCTTAATACACAATCGATTTTACTTGAGTTAACACAGGCAAGGCTCTTTCACACTTGATCAGCCTTATGGAAAGTCCCTTATGTGCATTTCGAGTTAGTCGTGATTGTCAATCGAGTGTGACTATACGATTTATAATTTTTATATTCTGAATGGATTAATGCATCACGCTTCTAGAAACTATTTCTCGTAATATTAAATAATTGCAATAATCTATGAATCATTTCAGGAAATTCTTTTTTTAGTCCTGTATATCACATACCTTTTTCAAGAGCAAATATTACGTAAACTTCTATTTAATAAAATTTAAGTAAACATTTTTTTCTTTGCAATTTGCATAATATATGTGCTTATCACAAGAATGCACTCTACATTGGTTTTATTAAAAGTATACTTGTTTCAATCAAGTCAAGTAATACACAATTCCTCTTGATGTATGTAATAATTTTATTAGACGCTACTATTATCCGAACTATCGACTGATTATATTAAAATATAAAGATACTGCTGATATTTAAAGCTTTATTTTTGTAAAGATATATATTTCATTTTTCTTATCTTTCTATTTTATAAAATTACAATCTTTATTATATTTGAACCAACTCTAAAGTAAATAAGCGGAGATAAAAAAAATAGAAAACATTATATAGAGGAATTATAATGGAATAAAGTAGAGAATGCATATATAGATTTATTGGAATATATACATAATATATACAATGTTGCATTATGTCGCATTCGCAATGACAAAACGTATTTTGTGTATAAACGTGTATAATATTCCAGTTATACATAAAAAAGAAACACAAATATTCCTTTTAAGTATTAGGCAGTATGTGAAAGTTTTAAGCCTAAATCATGTAGATAAAATATTAAATTGAACGATATTAATAGAATAAATAAAAGCAAACATAGTAAAATTTAACTATTTTTTCTCTGGTTCACGAAAGTTCACATCTTGTTTTTTTAAAGTTTTGAAATATAATCGTAAGAAATATATCGTAATAACGTAAATTCATATTATCACATAATTTGTCCTGAAAAACAGAACTTAGTTTTTATATTATTAATTAATGCAATTACTTCAATTAGATAGAACATATCACAAATAACAAACATTTCAATAATAAAATAAAATAATGCAGAATCAAATTATGCTATTAAAATAATTTTTTTCATAGCAAATTTTAATATAGAATATATTAAAAAAAAAAAAATACATGTAGTATTAAATAAAACGTCAATCAATACTGTGTATAAATGTAAACAGTTATCTATTATGAAAAACGTTTCAAAACAAATTTTAAAAGAAATTTTCAAATTTTTAAAAAGAAAAGAGAATGAGAAATAAGAGAAAAATCATTTAGGATTCTCGTGTCTTCGAAGATGCGCGCTAAGTGTACCACGTTGAGTAAAATGTTTCTCGCAGATTTTGCACTTGTAGGGTTTCTCCCCAGTATGTGTTCGCCGATGTTTAATCAGATACTTCCTGGCGCTAAACGCTTTGCCACAAAACTCACAAATCTCCGGTTTTTCGCCGGTATGGATTCTAATATGAGTCTTCATGTACTGTCGTCTGATCAGCTTGCCACATACTTCGCATGCAACTTGACTCTCGCCGGTGTGAGTCCACTTGTGTTCCTTGTAACAATAACTATAAAATGTTTCGAAGCTGCATATCTCGCACTTATATTTCTTCCTCATTTCGGGCAGACTGTGAATCTTCATGTGACTACGAAGGTAGACTCGATTGCTGAAGGATTTGTGGCAGATCTCGCAAATGAGAAGTTTCTCGTTGGTATGCACGCTCATGTGGTTCTTCAAAGTCCCTTTCAAATAGAAACCCTTATTACAAATTTTACAAAACTCCGTGAATTCTTTATTGTGTCGCCTGATGTGGATCTTCAGATAATATTCCGACGTCAGCTTCGCGCCGCACACGTGACAAATATGGGGCGCACCGTGCAGCGTTTTATGCACGTTCAAGTACCTCTTCTTCTTGAATATTTTATGACACTCGTCGCATTCGATGGGACCTGCAGACAATTCCTTATTTTCTTTTTGATTTCTCTTGATTCTCGACTGTATTTGATTCTTGACTGTATTTTTCCATTTCTGCTTCTTCTGCGTGCTTGGAGGATGCTCGCAGCGCATCTGGCGATGTTTGATCAATTGTAGTTCTCTTGAAAATGTCTGTCTGCAAACGTTACACTCGTATTTCTTTTCTGCTTGACGTAACGCTTCTCGAGTTCTAAGTATCGATTGTTCCGTTCTATGTACTATCAAACTGGCTTCTGTATCGAAGTCTTCGTTGCACGAATCACAGTGATAAGCTATTTCTTGAACAAGAATAGTTTTGTTGTCAAGTTCTTGAAAAATAACGTAAGATGCACCTTGAACCTGCTTTTCTATAACAATATTTTTCGGATGATTCTTGGATCCCAAATTTTGACTTCTGAAAAAAATAAAAAATACAAATTATAAATATATAATCGAAAAATAAGTAATATTTCACTTTTATTTTAAGTCAATCTACGCGATGCATTAAATCGCGACAATCATCATTGTATTATCCAAAAGATATGGGATCATGTAGGCAGGAGAAAAATTATATAATCCTTAGTATATCAAAAGAGAGCAAATCGATAAAATTAATAATTAAGTGAAAAATATACCTTTATTTTATACTCATAAAATCTTCAAGTAACGAAGTTTTAA